AAGACCCCATGAGGTGCTTCTACTCTCTCCTAAGGGGTCACTCTGAGTTGTATTTCATTTGACAACACACAGCCTTCTAGTCTCTTTAATCAAATTATATCGTTTAATTCTTCCAATAGCTCTATGAGCTTGAGACCATCATTATTCTCCCTTTATAGATGAGGAGACTAAGTCACATGTTCAAGATCACGGTTAAGAAGTTGTAGAGCCAGGTGGGGGGGATGAGGAGTGGATACCCAAAGTCCATCTGTAGACAGACATCCCCTCACAGAAGGGTCACAAAGAAGAAATGAGCCAGTCAGGGTGCAGTATAGCACCGATGAAACATACAACTTTCCTCTAATTTCTTAATGCTTTCTTCCCCCCACTATAATGACCTCAATTCTACCTTATAGATCAGATAAGACCAGAGCATGCACACTGCTACAGAGACGAGCCCGCAACACAGGCAGTCCAGGATAGATAACCCCCCAGGGCCAACAATGAGAATAGACATACCAGGAGGATAAGGGAAGGTGGGGGGAGAAAGGGGTCAATCCCAAGGATCGACGTATAACCCCCTCCCAGGGAGATGAGCAACAGAAAAGTGGGTGAAAGGTGACAGGGTGATGTAAGATAAAACAATCTATAACTTGTCAAGGGTTCATGAGGGAGGGAGGGCAGGAGAGGGAGGGGAAAATGAGCTGATACCAAGGGCTCAAGTAGAAAGAAAATGCTTCGAAAAATGATGATGTCAACAAATGTGCTTGACACAATGGATGAATATATGGATTGTGACGAGATGTAAGAGTCCCCAATAAAAGTGTTTAATTAAAAAAAAGAAGTTGTAGAGCCAGGATTTGGAGCCAGGTAGTTTGACTCTGGAGCTGCACCCTTAATACCCACATGAGCCCAGAACATGCCTTGTGGTCGAGTGGGTTCCAATTCCTAGCGACCTTATAAGACAGAGTAGAACAGCACCAGAGGGTGTCCAAGGCTGTAAATCTCTGAGGAATCAGACGCCACTCTTTCTCCTATGTGGTGGTTGGGGCATTAGAACCATTGATCTTGCAGTTAGCCCGCCAGGGCTCCCCACAACAACTACATATCTGCCTCAAATATATGGCAAGCAGATGAAGTTTTGATTCAGAATTGGGGACTGGACTTAGAGATCTGAGCACCTTCAGTTTAGAGGTTGACAGATTGAGTTTATCCCACGGAGGAGGAGATGTGAGAAAAAAGAGAAAAGGCCCAGAGGCCAAAAGTCCACACATTGAAAGTGGTCATGTGTGCGTTGAGGGTGAGAGAGGGCATGAAGAAGAGGAACCAGCAAATAAAAGCAGAAGTGTGGTTCGTGTGGTTCCCTGGGCTGGGCCGGAGTCACAGAAGGGAGGAGGAGAACCTCACGAGAGAGGACTTGATCCTCGGTGCAGAATGCTTCAGAGGGGTCACGGAGAATGGTCGGCAAGGAGGAGCTCACCGACTCACCTATCTGAGCTTGCTTTATCCATTGCTTATATGCCTGGCAGGGCAACCCAGATTTAGGAAGTAGGCAGATTGGGGCATTCTATGGGCCCTGCATCTTGCTCTGGAAAAGTTGTCACCACATCAGAGAAGGGCTTTGGTGCCTTCGGCGCCTCTGTTTACACAGCGTATTTCCTATGCACAGGCCAGTTAGTTTGGGTAAGAGTGATTTGTGTTGGGGGTAACAAAGTTTAATCCCCCTTTTGAGTATATTCACATAGAATGTAGTGCTTGGATTATGGCCCACTGCAGAGTAAATTTAGTTCCTTTAGTCCCAGGAATAGACTGAGAGCATTTTTATTTAAAACAAACACACACAAAGCCCCACTGTCATGGAGTTGATTCCAACCCGGAGCACCCCTGTAGGGTGGGGTTGAACCGCCCCACTGGGCAGAATCCGACCACCACATCCTTCTTCCACAAACCACCTAGTGGGCTCAAACCACCAAGCTTAGGGTTAGCAGCCACACATTTAACTCCTTTGCCACCAGGGCTCCTTTGGATTTCTTCATAGGTGTCTACAAATACAACATCCCAGTTTATGAATGATAGCTGTACCAAGGTGCGTTGGCAGGACTGGGTGACAGGATGCGGTAACCCCACTGCAGGGACACACCGGGTTATAAAGGGTGGTTAGGACTTGGGGAAACTTCAGAGCCAGGGGGGAAAGGAGTGTCCCGAGCTGGAAGGGGCACACCCGAGCTGAGCGGCATCTCTTGGGGCCGTGATCTGGAGGGCCCTGCCATGGTAGCTGCACAGCATTTCAGGGGAAAGAACAGAAGGGGACAGTCAAATAACTGCTGTCAACCCAGAGTCTACACAACGACTTGCTGACAGCTTGACAGCCGCCCTCCTAGGTTTGTCTGCACACGTATACTCGCACTCCCCTGCAATCCAAGCAAGGTGGTAGTGTGCTGTCCCCCATCCTGCCTCCGTCACAGACCCCTCCCCAGGCTATGTGGCTTGCTGCATCCCTGGTCCCCAGGCTCTGCCCCATTACCCCAGATACAGGGAGCTTTCCATACCTACCACCATGAGCTCCAAAAAAATAAGTCCACAAAAGATCCTTTGATAGTTTTCTTCTCTCAGTGCTCTCGTTGAGGGCCTGCATCTATGGGTGAAATGAGCCTCGTTTGCTTGTGTGACACTTCAGTTGTGGCATATAGCATGGTGGGGAAGAGCTAAGCTTCCAGGGTTCAAACGTGAACTCTGCCCTTACAAGCCTCGTGACTTTAAGGAACTCAGCCTCATTGTAACTCAGGTTTGGGGGGTTTGTGGTTTGTGTGTGTGTGTGTCTGTCCATCTGTCTGTGTGTGTCTCTGTCTGTGTTTCTGTAAAGTAGGGATAATAATCAGACCTGTTGTGAGGATTAATTAAGATATGTGTAACATGCTTAGAACAATGCCTAAACCCACTGCCATTGCATCAGTCCTGACTCATGGCAACACCATATAGCAGGGGTCCTCAAACTACGGCCCGCGGGCCACATGCGGTCCGCCGAGGACATTTATCCGGCCCGCCGCCGGGTGTTTTTGCCCCGTTTTGTTTTTTACTTCAAAATAAGATATGTGCAGTGTGCAAAGGAATTTGTCCATAGTCCGGCCCTCCAACAGGTCTGAGGGACAGTGAACTCTGGCCCCTGTTTAAAAGGTTTGAGGACCCTGCTAGGGTTTCTGAGACTGCAAATTTGACAGGAGCAGACAGCCTCACCTTTCCCTTTCAGAGTGGCTGGTGGGCTTGAATACCCCAGCCTTGCAGTTAGCAGCCGGTGTCTAAACCACACTTCCAGCAGGTCTCCAGTAGAACGCTACCTGGTACTTAGTAAATGCTCAGTAAATGTTCACTCTCCTCATGCATTGCTAACACTTAAAATGGCCCATATTAAAGGATGGGTCTCTGCCCTCCAGGCTTATTCTTCAGGGGAGCCCTGCTGCCCCTGTTGACTATGCGACCCTTGATAGGGACACTAAGCTTTTTGAGGCCCACTTTCCTCATTTTTAAAACAATAGAGTTAGAGGCTGGGTCACCTCTTATATTTGAATTCATTGTCAAAAATATGTCCTGGGGACCCCCAGGGGGTTTCTAAAATCCTGCTAGAGAGTCTAGGAGGTAAATACTATTTTCTTAATAAGAGTAAGATATTATTTGCCTTTAAACCCTCATTCTGTCAGAAATGTACAATAAGGTTTCCCAGGGCCACATGACCTGTGGTATCACAGTAGATTAAATGCAGAAGCAATTGGGAGAATCCCTTAGCCTCCTACTACGCCAGACAGGAAATAGATGTACATTCTTCTGACTGAATATTTTTTGAAAAAGTCAATCTCTTTTTCAGAGAATAAATTGGAATCACTGATCTAATTCACTGGACATCTCTTCTGGGCTGGAAGGGAATTCCAGTCCTCGAAACAGTCCTTTATGCGCCCAGCCCTGTCCTGTCCTGTCCTCTGCTATCACTGCTGTCCGTCCCTCACGCTGAGATAGTCTCACACCCTCCTCTCTCAGGCAGACCACAACCCGTTTATTTCTGCGCGTGGTGATCTCGCACTTACTATCAACTTTCCTCCGTCTCTATTCCTTGCTGGTTTCTTGATCGTCTGTCTTCTTGTTCCCCCTTTACCTGTCCTTGTCTTCTCTAAGCTCTCCCCTTTGCCTTTCATTCTTTAGCTCCCTCAAGTTGTTGGTTTGCTGCTTTGCAATCGCTGCCGCTTCTTGATTTGCTTTTAAAATGCTTAAAACTTTTTACCTCCTCTTAATTCTGATGTTTATGCTGAGTTCTGGTCTTCATTTTATTCATCTCTCTAGCAAATACTATTACACACGAGCATTGGCATGCTATTCCTTTTGCTTTGTCCTGGGAGAACAGAACAAGATAGCCCGGGGAGTGACAGGATACCCGTGCAAACCGTGTCTGAGGTTAATGGTTCTGGGGTCCCACTCTACCCTACTGCCTAACCCGGGAAGGATGACGGAAGTGAACATTTCTGGCACCACCACCATTTCTTGCACAACTGCTGTCTGCCGGGTAGTTATCTCATTCCCATAGCAACTCTGAAAATTAGGTATTTTTGCCCCACTTTACAAGTGGGAGAGTGACAACTCATGGAACATGTCACTTGCCCACAGCCACATCGGCACCAAGATTTCTTTTTCTTTTTAATCACGTGAACCACGCAGGAAAAGTCCCCTGGTCAGAAGGTGATGTGGTGGGGACACTGCGGAGCCAGCTGTGGACAGCACGTGTGAAGTCAGAAACAGCACATCAGAGCAGAGCAGACTGAGCTAGGGCAGCTCCCGAGAGATCTTGTCCCAACACTTGGTTGCCTGAGGTTGGAACTGGAAGGCTCTACTCACTGGAAAGGAATGCCTATCTGGAGCTCAGGCCACCAGAGTCGTTTGCCTGATGCTGCTAACGGACTGCCCGGGGCTTCCCTGGGCATAGCAGGAATGGCACATGCCAGAGAAACCTCTGATTTGTTTGTCCTTCTTTTTGGCAGAGTGACGTCAGAATCAAGTTCGAGCACAACGGGGAGAGGCGGTAAGTGTGCTTTCTGGCCCATGCTCACGCCCCTGTGTGCTGAAATCCCCGGAAAGCAGGACTTGGGAGGCCCTCTCACTGTGCCTGAGGACTTTGTTTAGGCACAAAGAGGAGTTTCCCCCCGAGTTTAGCCCATCAGGTGAGCCTGTTTCTGCTTGGAGAATTGGGAGTCATTTCAAGTGCTGGTTTCTTATTTTCTGTTCTGTTCTGCTGGTGCTTTATGGGGGAACATGCCAGCTCTACAGAGACACCTGTACACTCTGCCACCTGGGACATCAGAGGGCGCTCAGGAGTCCCCTCTGACTGGTTGGGGTGCCATTCCCTGACCCTGCTGGCTTCAGGGCTGAGCGGGGTGAGCTGGAAATTTCTTTATCATGTCCCTAGGTCGTGGGAAGCTGCACCAAGCCTTCAGTTGTGAAAGAATTCAGATCCTGGGGATCTAGCAAGAGAGGATTTTTCAGTCTATATTCTGAATCTCACCTCCTTAAGGAAGTGAATGTAGTATTACGAAACTTCGGTGTCTTTTTCTCCATTTTCAGTATTTCAGTAGTGTGTGTGTTTTTAAAATAGGAAGTCAAGGTACAAGTTCTCAGTGCAGAAAAATATGTACTTACTTTCCCAAACTATTTAAGGAAAAAGTTTTTAAAAAAACCCAGAACTCTGGCCATGGGAGGTTTGAGGCTGTGTTCGCACACGTGTGTGCAGCAGTACATGTGCACATCAAGGCCTATAACATCTGTTTCCCACTCTTGGCCTTTCTTCCCTCCATTCTTGGTTTGCTTTGAGATCTGCAGAGTGAGAGCGTTCCCGTGAGGGTGAGGGTCTCCCTCATTGAGTCCCACCGCCGAGCCTTAGGCCTTCCCGCAGCCCTTGTCCGAGAGTGCGCTCTCTGCTGCTGGCCGCCATCAGCCCCTGTGGAGACCAGCTCCAGAGGCCACCTAGGACTGTTGGTGTCCTTAAAAAAAACCTCACAGCCTGCAAAGCTGTCACAAGCTGCCCAGTGGTGACATTGCGGGAAGTGTGGTCTGCGGAGCCAGGGTCCAGCCGCTGCCATGGCCTCTGGGCTGTCTCTGGCCCTGTCCCAGCTGCTTACCCTGGGTCCTACAGCAGCAGGGAAGTGAAGTTGTCGCTTCATTGTTGCTGCTTTTCCCACTTTGGACCTGGCTACCTGGGTTTTGGAGAAGACGGCCAGACTGAAGCAGCGGTTTTCCAAAGCAGATAGGGAATCAAAAGCTCAATTGTGTTGGGGCCTAATTAGGCGGTTCCGCTCTCCCGAATTCCCCATTTCTAAAGCGGGGTGCAGTTACTATGAGCGAGAGGGTATGTGCTTGCTTTCAAAGAAGTTGCCGGATCCAAACCACAAATATTTAAGGTGGTCAGGCAGGAATGGCCTTCAGAAGCCCCGAGTGGCAGAGTTGGTATCAAGGCTTTTTAAAATTGTGCCTTTGCTTTTTATGGGGCTGTTTTGGAGAGCCATGGCATTTCACTGTTTGTGAACTGTGTGGAGTCCAGGAAAACCTTTATGTGAAGGGCTTACGAGCAGGGAAGCCAGGTTCAGGCTGCTCAGGGTCAGACAGGCCTGGTTTCATGTGTTTCCTGTGGAGGGTGTCACTGGGGGCCTGCTGGACTTTGAGCGAGCATTGTGGGTAGTGTGTACGGTAGTTCATACTGTAGGCCCTTGCAGAATTGAATGGACCGTAAAGAGGAAAGAAGTAGTGACAGTTCCTGTTCATCTCTGCCAGGTATCCATTCTGATGGGCTGACTTTTCCTTTGCTTTGGAAAGGTGAGAACCAGACACCTGACCCTCTTCCCTCTCAGCCCCAAGGTGCAGAAGAGGAGGACTTTAGATTAGGATCTCCTGAGGCTATCTGCTCCCACGAAGCTTTATAGCTATAAAGCCTTTGAAAACCTCAATGTTAGGACATTGAGGGGGCAGTTGTCACAGATGTTAGGGTATCCGTTGAAGCACTGGCCTAAAAATGCCAGTCATCTTAGATCTTACCAAATCTGGAAGTCCCTGTGTCTGCTCTTGACCATTCCGGGCCTGCTGGAGGGGGTTCTGAATGACCCACTGCTGGTCAAATGCAGGAAAATTTCTCTCTCAGCCTGATCCTTTTCCAACAGTTGATAGAGACTTCTGAGTGGCTCCTGGTAGTTTACTCAGAAGAGCTGGCTCCTTTTGAACTGCTGATGAGGCCTCGATGAGGGAGTATAACTTACTGTTAGCAACTACTGGGAAGCCGTTTGTGGTGCAGGGAACTTGGTTTGGCCCTTGGACTCTGGTTTATGAGAATAACCCAAGCAATGCAGATGCCTTTGTTTTCCAGAATAGCTGAGCCAAGTGAGGGCTACCCAGGCCCCCCACTGAGTGGAGTAACTTCAGGAAGAGGAGGCGGCCTAATGGAGCCATGCCTATTCATCATAGGATCAATCATAAGTGTGTAAAAACCCGAGTCATGCATATTTTCTGAGGTTCCAATGACCAGGATACGTCCTTTCGGGTTGGTGAGAATATCTGCGCACAGGAGCTGCACCAGGCAGCCCGTCCCTGGGGACAGTGGAGGCCTGTGCCAGGCCTCGCCCAGCTCTCGCCTGGTGCGTCTCCTCCCTAACATCCTTTCTGATGACAATAAATGGGTTACTGTGAGTACAGGTAATAGTTTCCGTGCATTTTATGAGTCATTCTAGCAAATTATTAAACCCACTGGGGCAGTGAGAGTGAGCACAGGCGATGGCATGTGCCTGGGTAGCAGTTGCTGGAAGGCTAGAGTCCCAGCTTGTGGAGGCCCGGCTCTGAATGGCCAGAATCAGAGAGAGTTCCACAGGGGTGGCTGGTGTCAGGAAGGTGAAGTGGGAAAGTGGGCATATGAGTTACCTTCACATTTTGGAAATTAGCCTTATGTCAGCTTTTACATAGCATTCTTTCAGAAGACCTCAGAAAGCACTCATTTATAGATAGCACCTAACAGTCTCACTTGGGATACTTGATTTGAGGAAAGAACTATAAGGGTTGTAGTATGGATAGATTGCCTGATGGAGACGAGCTAATATTGCCAGCCATGTAATTTACAAAAATGAAAGGTGATGATGGTTGAAGAAAAAGTTGGAGGAATTCTCTTCCTGAGATGTTAGACTTTGCATGCAGGCTAGATTCTGGTTTATAGTACGATTTTATCAGCATGATACAGTAGAACTTTGTGCTCTGATGGAAACTTTCTCTGTGCTCTCCAGTACAGTAATTGACTGGTGCACACTTGAAATGTGGCAGGTGCAACTAGAGAACCCAATTTTAATTTAATTTTTATGTATATGGCTCCCATATTGAATAGCACAGTTCAAGGTGTTGAAGGCTTGTCCTGCCAACTGGTTTTAAACTCATCTGTCACAGAAGAACATAAAAGAAATGGTCTGATCATACTGCATTAAAATCCAGTGACTTACATCCCTATTTCCTACGGCCAGTTGCTTCTTTCTCTGAGTATACCACTTCCCACTCTGGGGAGAAAAGATGTGAAATGGCTGAGCACTTTCTCTCTCTCTCTCTCTCTCTCTCTCTCTCTCTCTCTCTCTCTCTCTGGAGGAGCGCAGGAGTTACAGGGGCTCTGTGGCTGGTGCTGCTGCTCCCACAGATGAGTCTGAGCGCATCCAGCTTAGCCTAGGAAGTTCTGCTTGTTATCATCCCCATCTCTGGAGCATGGTCTTTTCAAAGGTTTGTTAGCCACTCATCATGCTCCTGTGAATCCTTTCATCAGAGGCTGGGCCTGTTTTTCAATGGTTGTTCTTTGTGTTACTCCCGGTTGACCAGAGAAACAAATTCATTGACACTCGTGTATAAAAAAGAACTTTATATAGAAGAGTAATTGTATATTGAGAAAACATCCCAGCCCTGTCTTGATCAAGTCCATAAATCTGATGTTAGCCCATATGTCCTATCTAGTCCATAAATTCCTCTTTAGATAAGGTGACCAGATTTTAACATTGGTGAAGCGGGACACCATTGACAAAACTCATATCCTGGTGAAATAGCCACATGGCAGCCGAAAACCGTATACCCTAGCTTGTCGTGCATTCTTTCCAAAAATCGGGACTTAAAATTTTTTTTTTTAATTAATTTATTTTTTAATAGTTTTAGGGACTCATGTAACTCTTATCACAACCCATACATACATCAATTGTGTAAAGCACATTTGTACATTCATTGCCCTCGTCATTCTCAAAACATTTGCTCTCCACTTAAGCCCCTGGCATCAGGTCCTCTTTTTTTCCCCTCCCTCCCTGCTCCCCCCTCCCTCATGAACCCTTGATAATTTATAAATTATTATTTTGTCATATCTTGCCCTGTCTGATGTCTCTCTTCACCCACTTTTCTGTTGTCCGTCCCCCAGGGAAGAGGTCACATGTAGATCCTTGTAATCGGTTCCCCCTTTCCAACCCACTCTCCCTCTACGCTCCCAGTATCGCCACTCACACCACTGGTCCTAAAGGGATCATCCACCCTGAATTTCCTGTGTTTCCAGATTCTATCTATACCAGTGTACATCCTCTGGTCTAGCCAGACTTGCAAAGTAGAATTGGGATCCTGATAGTGTTGGTCGGGGGGAGGAAGCATTTAGAAACTAGAGGAAAGTTGTATTTTTCATCGTTGCTACATCACTCCCTGTCTGTCTCGTCTCCTCCCCGAAACCCCTCTGCAAGGGGATCTCCAGTGGCCTAAATATGGACTTTGGGTCTCCACTCCGCACTCCCTCCCTCATTCGCTATGGTAAGAATCGAGACTCTTTTAAAATGTCGTTTAAAATTGGGACGTCTGGTCACCTTATCTTTAGACTCACACAGCACATGCAATGATGCCAAGTGCAGGAAGATCACAGGCCAGTGGGTAGAAGGTATTGTGGATCCAGTGGCAGTGGAAGCATCTCAGCTTTGACTTGGGTCTCCATGTGGCTCCTCCAGTTCCAGCGGTCTGGCAGGGATCAGCGTGGTTCATGTGTCTTGTCAACAGAAAGACAAAGCAAAGAGAGTGTGTGTCCCACTTCCAGGAGGAAGACAGGAGTTCCCAGAATCCTCAGCAGAAGGCCACGCCCACACAGAGGACTCATTGGCTATGTCCCCGATAGGCTAGACTCCACCCCTTTGCTCAAGTTGACAATAGATTATATAACTGCCACAGTGTTTCTCTTACTGATTTTTATAAGTATTTTCTCCAAATTTGAAGTTTGTATTTTTTAAATTTTGATGGTTTATCACCAAAAGTTTTCATTTTGTTGTTAAATTTGTTTCCATTTTGACTTAAGGTATTTCATATTATGCTTAGGAAGACTGTTTCCAATCTTTTAAATCTTATATTTTCTTGTAGCATTATAGTTTTAAGATATATAGTCAGGTCTTTAATTAATTTTAGTTAGAAAATAGATAGCCAATTGTCCTGTGACTGCTTATAGTGTAGACTAAGTTCATGTATGTATGTATATTCTCTCATCTGTTTCATTTACCTCTTATATTTGTATTAAAATTTATGAGTATTGGATTACACTAATATGAATTTGCTACTTTTATACCTTAGAAATGGTTGACTACCAGCAGTCTCATGTTGTAGTTGTTAAGGTGCATTGAGTCAATTCTGATTCATTGCAACCTCATCTACAACCGAACGAAATACTGCTTGGGCCTGTGCCTTCCACTTAATTGTTATGTTTGAACCCATTGTTACAGCTACTGTCAATCCATCTCATTGAAAGTCTTCCTATATTTCACCTACTACATTTAAGTTTTTTGTTATGAAAATCTTACACACACACACACACAAGTGGGAAGAACACGATACTGAACTGACTGCCAGCGACCTGCCACCCAGTTTCAACAATATCAACATTTGTGAATCCTTTTTCATCTTTCCTTCCTTAAAAATTTTGCTGGGATATTACCTAAATGATGTCTTAGTAGATTTTTTTGGACAAGTTCTTACTCTGCTCAAAGGAATCTAATCCCTTACAAGCCGATATATGTCACTGGTTAAGAAAGCTGATCAGTCATAAGACCAACTGAAGAGCAATTCCTCTAACTGGGAAGTCTGGTTTTGGGGAATCTCGGTTCTGAGTATATAATCTATATTGAGATTTTTAGAATCTCAAAAATGAATGACAAAAAGGTTCCAAGTCTTGGAGTTGAGTCACTCAGGAGTGGAGACCAGGTTTTCAGGACTGCTGAAATTCCCAGGCTTTCTGGCTCTTTCCTAACTGGAGTATTGGGAACATTAAACCCAAGCAGCCTGCTATGATACAGAACTGCCATCGGCTGACAAGTCCAAGCTGAAGTAGTAGAGCAAGTAAATGTTTGGGGTTGAGCAGTGCTTGTGGATATGATCGATGAACCTGAGGGTGCTCAAAAGAAGGGTGAAAGGAAGGGTAATACAAGACAAGAAGCACACACACACACACACACACACACACACACACACCAGAATCCTGAATGAAAGGCAAAGAGAATCCGATATCGAGAAGAGAGAGACGCTGTCACTCAGGAGCTGTAGCGTCTGATCTACATTGTAAATATGCACCAACATTAAATATGACTGGTATCCATTTTAAATCGGCATTTGACCTAGCTTCCTGCTCCTTTTCAGGATTATCCCGTTCAGCCGGCCAGTAAGATATGAAGATGTGGAGCACAAGGTGGCAGCGGTGTTTGGGCAGCCTCTCGAGCTACATTACATGAACAATGAGGTAAGGAGGCCGATGGGGCCGACACCAGAGGGAACCGCAAACATGCTGTTTCTCAGGGCCTCACTGGGGAGTTTTCAGCTTGTGCCTCTGCTATCTGTAGGTTTTCAATTTCTGAAGCCCATTTTCTTAATTCCCCAAACTGGGAGAGTTCTAGTTCTCACTGTGTGGGAGACGACACAGCTGTTCCCTTCGAGAAGGAATCTGGTATGGGGCTGTACATTTTGTATGGGCATTTTTTTCTTTCCAGCACAACCTTAGTAGAAGCAGAGGATTTAGCCAAGGGTTAGAGCAGGTATGGAAATGTCGTGGGTAGATCCTCTGTTGACCTCTGTTGGTAGCTTATTTGTTTTGAAAGTTGGCAGCTGCTCCATTGATTTTTTTTTTTTTTAACCTGGCCCCGCTCCTTAAAACTGTATTTATTCCTACCCAAAGTATCCAGAAACTCTGGTGGTATAGTGAGTTATGTGTTGGGCTGCTAACTGCAAGGTAGCAGTTCAAAACTACCATCTGCTCCATGGGAGAAAGATGAGGTTTTCTATCCTCACAAAGATTTATAGTCTCACAAACCCTAAGAACAGTTCTGAGTCAGAATTGATTCAATGGCATTGATTTGGTTTTAAGTATCATCCAAGAAGGAATTCTTCTGAATAGCAGTTACTGGAAGAGACCTATATTTGTGCTCATTCCAAAGAAAGGTGACCCAACAGAATGCTCAAACTATTAGAACAATATGATTGTTCTATATTGCTCTATAATGAATAATATTCATCTGTAGATGGATGATGCATATCATTCATCGCACACAAGTAAAATTTTGCTTAAGATCATCTACCAGTGGTTGCAGCAACACATTGACAGGGAACTGCCAGAAGTTCAGGTAATATTCAGAAGAGGATGTGGAACAAAGGATAACATTGTTGATGTCCAATGGATCTTGGTTCAAAGTGGAGAATACAACAAAGATGTTTACTTGTGTTTCATTGACTGTGCAAAAGTATTTGACTGTGTGGACCATAATAAACTATGGATAACCTTGGGAAGAATGGGAATTCTGCAGCACTTCCTTGGGCTCATGAGGAACTTGTACATGGATGAAGAGGCAGTTGTGCAAACAAGGGAAGACTGTATGGTTTAAGATCAGGAAAGGTGTTTGTCAGCGTTGTATCCTCACACCATACTTGTTCAACCTGTATGCTGAGAAAATCATCAGAAAAGCTGGATTATATGAAGAAGGGTGCGGCATCAGGTTTGGACGAAGGCTTATTAACAACCTAAGGCATGCAGCTGACATACCTTACTTGCTGAAAGTGAGGAGGACTTGAAGCACTTCATATGAAGATCAAGGATTATAGCCTTTAGTATTGATTACAACTCAATGTGAAGAAGCCCCAAATCCTCACAACTGGACCCATAGGAGCATTATGATAAATGGAGAAAAGTTTGAAGTTGTCAAGGATTTGTCTTACTTGTATTCACAGTCAATGCTCCTAGAAGCAGAGTGAAGAGATCACAAGTCACATTCCATTAGGTAAATCTGTTGTGCAAGACCCCCATAGAGTAAGGATGTTCCATTGAGGATTAAGCTGTGCCTGACTCAAGCCACGATCCTCTGTATTGCATTGTTTCCATGTGTAAGTTGGACATTGAATAAGGAAGACCATAGAGGAATAGGTGCATTTGAATTGTGGTGCTGGAGAAAAAATATTGAAATACCAGGGACTGCTGAAAGGATAAAACAATCTGTATTGGAAGAAGTGCTTTTTTGAAGCAAGGATGACAAAGCTTCGTCTTACATACTTTGGACATATTGTCAGGAGAGACCAATCCATGGAGAAGGGCATCGTGCTTGCTGAAGTGGAGGAGTGGCAAAAAGAGGAAGGCCCTCAACGAGATGGGTCGACAGGGGCTGCGTCGATGGGCTCCGGCGTAGGAACAGTTAGGAGGATGGAGCAGGCCCGTGCAGCGTTCTCTTCGGTTGTGCACAGGGTGGTTATGGGTCAGAGTGGACTTGTCCCCAACAACAACGGTAGTTACTTACTTAGCTACTTTTCCAGTTCCAAGAAAGGCATTCAAGGCTACAGTCTGCTACGTCTGATGTTTTGATTAGTAGGAAAGGCAACGTCTTTATTCCCAGTAAAGTGTGTTCCTTGAAGGATTGAGTTGAAAGGCAAGACAAAAAATTTGAGTAATATCATGATCTTGCAGCGCCAGTCTTCCCTGTGTAGTTTTATTGGTTGAAGGGTTAAATTTTTCTCTCTTGTTTTAAGTGTACAATTCCGTGGTCTTATTAATATTCATAATACAATCAACTAAAAACCACAAAAACAAAATTATTACCATCAAGTTGATTTTGATTCAGTGGCCCTATACGACAGGGTAGAAACTCTTTGGGTATCTGAGACTTTAAGTGTGTATAGGAGTAGACAGCCTCATCTTTTTTCCATGCAGTTGCTGGTGGTTTTGAACTGCTGACCTTATGGTTAGCAGCTCAGTGCATAAACCACTACACACCAGGTACAATCAACTAAACCCAAACCAAACTCACTGCCACTGAGTCAGTGCTGACTCATAGCAACCCCATTAGAGGGGCAGAGTAGAACTGCCCTTTGAGTTTCTGAGACTGTAACTCCTTATAGGAGGAGAGAGCCCCAACTTTCTCCCAAGGGGCTGCTGTGGTTTCAAGCTGCTGACCTTGCAGTTAGCAGTCCAACGCGTAACCACTATGCCACCAGGGCTCCTAATATAATCAACACTGCTATCTTAGTCTAGAATATTTAATTCCCACAAAGAAAATCCCTGGTGCCATTATCAGTGACTCACCACTTCTCCCTTCCCTGCCCCCTGGCAATCACTAATCTACTTTTGGGTTATGGACTTAACCTATTCTGGACATTTCATATAAATTGAATCATGAAATACGTGGTCTTCTGTTTGGTTGGCTTCTTTCACTAAGAATGTTTTCATCCATGTTGTAGCATGTACTTCCTTCAGATGACTGGATTATATTCCATTGTCTGACGAAACCACACTTAGTTGATTCATTCACCAGCTGAAGACATTTGGTTATTACTGAACAGTTATCTTAAGTTTTATGCGAACATATATTTTCTGGGGTGTGTATATCCCTGGGAGTAGAATTGTGGAGTGATCTGGTAACTACACTTTTGTAGCAACGGCCAGCCTTTTTTTCATGGTAGCTGCACAGTTTGACATCCCACCATCACTGTATGGTTGCTGCAGTCTGTACATCCACAAGGACCCTTGATGTTTTCTCTCTTGTTATTGAATTGTAGTCATCGTAGTGAATGTGAAATGCTGTCTGTTGTTTTGATTTGCATTTCCATAGTAACTAATGATGCAGCATCTGAATTGGAGGACGGCTCATTAATCTGTGATATGCAGTTGGCATAGAGGCTATACACTGAGCTCCTAACCACAATATCAGAAGTTTAAACCCATCAGTTGCTCTGAGGGAGAAAAATTAGGCTGTCTACTCCCATTAAGATTTGAAGTCTCAGGATGCAGAGTAGCAATGATGAAACATATAACCTTCCTCTAGTTCTTAAATGCTTCCTCCCCCCCACTGTCATGATCCCAATTCTACCTTGCGAGTCTGGCTAGACCAGAGGATGTACATTGGTACAGATAGCAACTGGAAACACAGGGAATCCAGGACAGATGATCCCTTCAGGACCAGTGGTGAGAGTGACGATGCCTGGAAGGTGGAGGGAATGTGGGATGGAAAGGGGGAACCGGTGATAAATATCTATGTATAACCTCCTCCCTGGGGGATGGACAGCAGAGAAGAGGGCGAGGGGAGACGTCAGACAGTTTAAGATATGACAAAATAATAATTTATGAAGGGCTCATGAGGGAGTGGGGAGGGAAGGGAAAAATGAGGAGCTGATATTAAAGGCTCAAGTAGAAGGCAAATGTTTTGAGAATGATGATGGCAACAATTGTACAAATGTGCTTGACACGTGGATGTACATATGGATTGTGATAAGAGTTGTACGAGCCCCCCAATAAAATGATTAAAAAAACCAAAAAGATTTGAAGTCTTGGAAAACCAAAGGGACAGTTCCACTCTGTCCTGCAAGGTCAGTGTGAGTCAGGATTGACACGATGGCAGTGAGCTCATAGCTGAAGTGCAGCATCAAGGCTGGAGGAAGGCTCATTAACCTGTGATAGATATTCTGAGGACACAGCGTTGCTGACAGCCAAGAGGAATTGAAGTATTTACTGGTGAAGATCAAGGACTGTAGTCTCAGCGTAAAGAAAACAAAAATCCTCACAGCCGGGCCCCATGATAAATGCAAAGAAGATTGAACTTATGAAGGATTTCATTTTCATTTGATCTACAGTCTTTGATCATGGAATCAGCAGTCAAGAAATTAAATGAATATATTTACTGCATTGGACAAATCTGCACAAGACCTCGTATAGTATTAGGAGCAAAGGTGTCACTTTGAGGGCTAAGGTGAACCTGACTCGAAGCAACCTCATGTGCATTTGAAAGCTGGACGTTGAATAAGGGAAACCACAGGAGAAGTGACGTAATTGAATTATGGTGTTAAAGAGTATTGATAATACCATGGACTTCCAAAAAAACATTTGCCACGGAAGAAGTATTGAACGAATGCCCTGTAGAACTGAGGATGGCAAGGCCCTATTCCGTGGACTGTGGACATGTTCTCAGGAGAAAGGATGTCCTGCTCGCTAAAGCTGATGGTCAGCCCAAAGGAGGAAGAGCTTCGATGAGGTGGATGGACACAGCAGCTGCACCAATGGGTGCAGACAAAACAATTTTGACAGCGCAGTGTTTGATTCCTGGGTTGAGCATATTCCTGTGCTTATTTGGCCATTTGTATGCCGTCTTTGAAGAAATGTATATTCAATTCACTGCCTGTTTTTAAATTGAATTGTCTTTTTTTTTTTAAGATCATTTTATTGGGGGCTCTTATAGCTCTTTTTTTTTTAACATTTTATTAGGGGCTCATACAACTGTTATCGCAATCCATACACACATCAATTGTGTAAAGCGCATTTGTACATCATTCTCAAAACATTTTGTCTCCACTTAAACCCCCAGCATTAGGTCCTCTCTTACAGCTCTTATATCACAATCCATACAGCAGTTGTATCAAGCATATTTGTACGTATGTTGCCATCATTATTTTCTAAACATTTGCTTTCTGTTTGAACCGTTGGTATCAGCTCCTCTTTTTTCCCTTCCCGCCTCTCCCCCTCCCACCAGGGATCTTTTTATTGTTGAGTTGTGAGAGTTCATGTATTGGGGATCCTAGAGCTCTTCATATATTCTGCTTCAGGGTGGTGTCCTCTCACCATACTTGTTCAGTCTGTGTGCTGAGAAAATCATAGGCGCAGTTAGATTATACGAAGAGGAATATGGCATCAGGATTGGAGGACGGCTTATTAACAACCTTCAATATGCAGATGACACAACTCTGCTTGTGAAAGTGAGGAGGACTTGAAGTACTTGCTGATGAAGATGAAGGATTGCAGCCTTCAGTTTGGATGGCAACTCAATGTAAGGAAAACCAGAATCCACCCACCTGGACCAATAGCAGAGAAAAGATTGAAGTTGTCAAGAATTTGCTCATGGAAGCAGCAGTCAAGAGATCAAAGGATGCATTTGCGCTAGGTAAATCTGCTGTATAAGATCTCCTTGAAAGTTTTTAAAAGCAAGGAGGTTACTCTGAGGATTAAGGTGTGCCTGACCCGAGCCATGGTATTATCAATTGCCTCCTGTATGCATGTGAAAATTGGACGTTGAATGAGGAAGGTCAAAGAAGAACCGATGCATCTGAATTATGGTGCTGATGAAGAATTTTGAAAGTTCCATGGACTGCCACAAGAACCAACAAATCTTTCTGGAAGAAGTACTTAGAGGCCAGAATGTACCAGAAGGCTCCTTAGAGGCCAGGATGGTGGGACTTTGTCTCAACTACTATGGACATGTCAGGAGGGACCAGTCTCTGGATAGGACATCATGCGTGGTCCAGTGGAGGGGCAGGGAAAAAAGCCCCTCCACAAGATGGATTGGCACAGTGGCTGCAACAGTGGGCTGAGACAGCAGGGTGGTTGTGCCCCAGGACGCGGCAGTGTTCTGCTTTGTACATAGGGTCACTATGAGTCGGAACTGACTCGACACACTTAACAGGAATCACAGACCCTTAACATGATTTGCAAGATTTCCTCCCATTCTGTGGGTTGCCTTGAGATTTTATTGTAAACGTGCTTACTATTTGCTTTTTCCCAGCCTGTGATTCAGAGTGCCCATCAACTCGTGTTATAAATTAGGAATTGAGTAAATAAACCATACGTTTGCTTGATTTTGTGTTTGTCAGAAATGTTTGAAATCTGATGTTAGCTAGATCTGAGGCAAAGCACTCTGTTAACCCTACTAGCCAGGCTCCTCTCTAGCCCTTGATGGAATGAGAACAGAGGAGGAAGTTGTGGGGATTCCAGTCACTCGTTTTTGCCTGTAAACATTAAGATAGTAGGTTGTACTGTTTTTTAAAATGCTAATTTTGCATTCCTATTTGGATCGTAGTTTTTAACCTCTGCATGGTCCCCACCCCTCTGGTCACTTTTGTTTGCTTCCTTAATGTCCACACAATTGGGGAGAGTTTGGGTTACAACTCAGTGTAGAGGATCATATCCCTTATGATATGATCCTGCTGCTGAATTTGGGTAGAAATAGAGAGACTCTTAACTATCTGGGATTTGATGCTTTGGTGTAAAGGAAATGTTAGAGAAGAAGCTTGTCTCAAAATAGCTCAAAACGGAACAGTGATATATGTTGCAACATGGATGAACTCAAAAGCTTTAAGCCAAGTGGAAGAAGTAGATACCAAAGACCACATAGTGTGTGATTCCACTTACATGAAATGCCCAGAGAAGCAAACCCATAGCAACAGAGAGAGGTTCGTGGTTGCCTGGGGCTGGGGTGGGAAGGAGGGACGTTACTATAAATGGGCACAAGGGATCTTTTTGGAAGGATGAGAATGCTTTAAAATTGAATTGTGGTGATGGCTGCATAACTCTGCAAATATACTAAAAATCATTGACTTGAACAGAAAAATAAAAAGGGAAAAGAAACTCAATGATTTCAACTAGACAGATCTTTTAAGGCCTCATGTTTTAAAGCCTGTATTTTAAAGAGTTTTTTTTCCCCTTCAAGTTTGTGTTTGTTTGATTTTTAATTTATTTTTGCAAATTGAAGCATCAAGAGGACCTCCTAACTTACATGCTTTTCCCCCATCTCCTGTCATAGCTCTCCATCCTGCTGAAAAACCAAGATGACCTTGATAAGGCAATTGACATTTTGGATAGAAGCTCAAGCATGAAAAGCCTTAGGATACTGTTGCTGTCCCAGGACAGAAACCACGTGAGTAGCCCCACTGTGGCCTGGCAGTGTGCTTTTCTTCGGGAGCTGCTCTGCTGCTTACAGCCTCATGTGTGGCTCAGCCTGCTGAGAGGCCCGGAGCACCGTCCAGCCCACAGTGCCCATGGCCAGGGAGCCCGGTGCACCCGATTTCACTATAGAAGCTAGATGTCAGAGTTGGTGTTGCAACCAAAGGTTCTCTGACTTGCGGTGTGGGAGGAGGAAAAATACTTAAGGTCAAAGAAGAAATTCTTTTGTTTCATATTGATGGATTTTGACCCCAGCAAGAAAGATTTGATCAGCGTGGGGATATGTTGATTAGCAGAGACTGGTGATGAGCAGTTCCCACAACTCCTCAGCAGCCTTGCCTTTCCCCTAGATATATAGGGGATGTAGGATGCATACCTTTCCTTCTGTTCAGGAGGGAAAAAGTCCTGCACTAGAGACCCATTTAACTTACCAGCTGTTGTCTCGCCAAATGGCAGGCAACTTCAAGGGCTTCAGAAGTGAGGAATTTTCTCTTAAGCCATTTACTCTCCTGAAAGGCCCCTTGGGGCTTCCATTTCACAGGAATGCTTTCAATCTGGGTCTGTTTTCTACTCACTGATTCCTCACCAATTTTCTTCAGATGGAGGCTCTTGAAGGTTCCTGCACTCCTTCTGTCCCTCATCTTTCTGTTCCTCCCACTTCACGCTTGGCTGAGGCCTCAAGAGAGTTCTCACTTGAGAGCTGGAGTTTGGTCATCACAGAGCTTGCTTCCTTTTTGCCTAAACTGGATTTGACTTAGGATTCCCAAATTCCATTTCCATCCCAAGAACCTTTGTGTCTACTGTCCTTTAAAGACATATTAGCATCTTCGGTATTTCTTGTTGCTCTGTGCCTTAGGTTATCAGCTGTTAGCCTCGCTTATTCCTATGGAAGATAACTTTTCTAAACTTGCATTAACTTCATTAACTTCTTCCTATGGAAGATAACTTCTTTAAACTTGCATCTCTGACTATTTTTCTGCTCTTGATCTCTTTAGAATTTAGATTATCATAAAGTACGTAATCTCAAACTTAGCATTCTTTCACCATTTGTCAAATTCAGTTCTGCCTGACAAAAGTACATTTCTAATATCATCTAAATGTCGCCCGTTTTCCAGATTTCCCATCAGTGCTCTGGGCACTATCTTGCACACTATTTAAAATTAAAATATCAAAGAGAAGCCAAAGGCTAATCCGGTTTCAGCCATCCAAAGATAATGGGGTACATGCAGGATGATAGAACAAAATGGTTTGGGCAGAATAGAGATAAATTAGCTTTATTCTGCCCCAGAGTTCAAAGCTAAGGAAGCTTCACACATAGAAGGGTGCTTTCATGTCTCATTAGACACAACTCCCAGGGTCTCAAGGCAGTCACCTGTCATCTTCAGTCCACCCCTGGGCAACAGCCTTCAAGAGACTGTACCCACCAAACCGAAAAACCAGACTCACTGCCATCAAGTCACTTCTGAATCACAGTGATCCAGTAGGACAGGGTAGGACTGCCCCTTTGAGTTTTAAGACCAAGTCTTCACAGAAGCAGAAAGCCACATCTTCCTTCCGAGGAGCAATTGGTGGTTTTGAACTGCTGACCTTGGTTAGCAGCCCAACTCATAAACCACTATGCCACCAGGCTCCTTGACTCACTGACCCACAGCAGGATGGCAAATAGTGACAGAGCTAACCTAGAGTTCAGAACTGCTCCTCGGGAGAAAGAAGAGGCTCTCTCTGCCCGTACAGAGTTAGAGTCTTGGAGACACATAGGAGCAGTTCTTCCCTGTCCTATCAGGTCGCTTTGAGTCAGAATTGACTTGGTGGCAGTGAGGTTTTGTTTGTTTGTTTAGCTTATCAGTTACCACCCAGAAAAAGGATCTTAGAATTTCTGTTGTCCTCTGAAAGCTTCGTCTAGTTTCCTCCACAGTTGGATTTCATTAGAAGCAAAACAGAAAGTGTAATACTGCCCGTGAGGGAAACTTATCAGCTACTGTGTCACTCTGAGCCCCTCCAGCTCAGAAGATAACTGAGCAAGGAAAGATCTAGGAAGAGACAGATTTTTAAATAGGTTGTGTTTACTTTTCTATGTGACTAGCCTAAACAACTTAAAACTCTTTCGTCAGGAAATGCAGCCTGGCAAACATGTCACCAAGTCTGGGGAGTGGTAGTATGGGTAATGAAAATACAGATGGATTTTCCAAGTCTCAGTGTCCCTCGAGAAGGACATCATCATGATTGGTGAAGTTAGAGGGCAGGCAGGAAGAGGAAGGCCCTCAAGGGGCTGGGCTGATATAACGGCTGCAACAGTGGGCTCACGAGTAGGAACAATTGTGAGGCTGACACAGGACCAGGCAGTGTTTGGTTCTGTTGTGCACTAACAACAACAACAACAACGATGCAGGTGAACCCTTGAATATTGGGAGTTATACGTTGAACAGAAAGGAAACTTCCAGAATTTGTAAAAGGCCCTAATAAATATGACGTCTATCCGATTGCTCTGAGTTTGAATTGGTTTGGGCTTATTCTGAAGTTCTATAGCTCCCCCAACTTCCCTTTCAGAACACCCCAACATTTCTAAAAGTTTTAATAAGTTCATAAATGTTAAAGCTCTCCATTTAAGAAAATCACTCGGATGCTTCCTGATCTTCCGTGCAAATGTCTTCTTAACACAGAAGACTGGGCTGGATGCTGCTGGAAGGCCACTGCACCATTCCTGACCTGCACGTTCCAGGAACCGAGCTGAAACCACCAAACCCAGCTCACTGCTGTCACGCCACTTTTAACTCACTGTGACTCCACCACCCCCCCTCACCCCCCGGGCTTTCCAAGGCCGTAAATCTTTATAGAAGCAGACTGCCAACATCGTTCTCCCGCAGAGTGGCTGGTAGGTTTGAACCCCCAATCTTTTGGTTAGCAGCCAAGAGCTCAGCCACTAGCAATCCTTTACTGTGCTATAATCCCCTTTGATTTTTCCTAGTCCCACATTCCTTATTCCTCTTTTCCACTTCTAAGACTTATTTAAGCTTCCTCAGATCCTCGAAATAACCTTGTTTTTATTTGCCATGCCATGCTACATTTCTTTATTTCCTTACATCGGAGTTTCCACTCCTGGCCGAGCATCACAATCACAAGGGGAAATTGAAAATACCAATAAAAGAGACTCCTTCCATTGGTCTCGTTGGGGTGGGGGTGGGGGTCCCAAGCCCTACAGGTGGTTCTAACAACAACCAGGGTAGAGAACCATCACCTTGTATTGAAGCATAAGTCTCACCTCCTAAAACCTTGCTACTCTAAGTGTGTGGCCCGAGCTCTAGCAGCATCAGCATCACCTGGCAGCTTGCCTCAACCCCCTCACCCCGTGCCCCTGCCCCTGCCAAGATCTCCTGGCTCAGAGCCTGCAGCTAACCAGACCCCAGGTGATTCATGGGATGCTGGCTCTGAAGCCTTCTCTGAGTCCCACTTCCCAGCGTAGCGCCACGACTTCATCCTTGCCTTCTACAAATCAGCGCCTGTGCTGGCTGTTGGGCCCACTCAGCTGTGAGATTGCCAGTTTGAGGACCTGGCATGGGTCACCTTGGCTGTGTTTCAAGTGCACCTTGTGGTCAAGCTGTACTGTATGGCCACTGTGCCTCAGGAACGAGGGTGCTCATTGGGTAGCGCTTCTCTGAGTGGAGGGCTGCGGCCCTCCCATGCCCTCCACCAGCTTGGGCTGTTTTTTCCTTTCTGACTCTCAGTGGAAAACGATTGCACATCTGAGACTTCAGCAAGAACATTGACTTCCCCTTGCTTCTGACTTCCCGTTAGAGCAAAACGGTTTGTCAAGACTGCCCTGCATGTGGTCAGCCCTGGCTGGGCAAGATGAAGCCTGCTGCTTGGCGGCTGGATGCACCCGAGGCGGGAAGCCTTTTTCCTGAAGGATAGGATATAGAGTTTGTTTAGGTCAATTTTTTTTTAAGGGAGTTGGAGGAGGTGCAGCTGCAAGCATCAACTTTGACCTAAATTGTTGACAAATTCTGAAAGTTACCCCCCAACTCCTAGTCAGGTCCTGTTCCTTTATAGTCACACCCCGCTATCTCTTGCTCCCGTTGGAGCCCAGCCCTGTGCCTTCTCAGGGTGCCAGAGCACTTCTCAGGGGCCCCTCACTTTCTCACCAGGAATCCCCGTGGTCCGACTGGTGAGCCCAGGAGCGGGGTGGATGTGGTGCGGCTGCTGACCCCACTCTGAGGTCCGGGGTGAACTTGATCCCAAAATGGCTCTCGTGTAAATTGTGGTCATGTGAAGCAAGGGAGAGCATCGCCTCCATTTTCAGGGAGCGGTCCTGACTGGGAATGAGGCAGCACGTCTCAGCCAGAGCTTTGCTGGGTAGGGAGGGTGCCATCACTTTCCTCTCCGACCCCCCCCCCCAGCAGGTGATCCCTCTGCTGAGGTGACTTCTTGCTATTCTTCTCTAGCTCTCTGGGGGCTTGTATGAGAAGGCATTTACAGCGCCTGCTTGTGTTACGGGAATGCCAGTTATTCCTCCAGATCTGGGTCACCACCCTATCGATAAACTGGGGCACCAGGTCTCAGGCTCACTCAGCCTGGAAGCCGCAGGACTCCACTGAGGGATTTGCCGAGAGAGATTGAGGAGCAAGGGGAAGCAGGAGTGCCTATGTGCTGAATAAATAAATAAGGTGGCTGAGAGTCCCGGGAAAGGAGGCCTTGATAGCTGCCTGCTTCTAGAACCATTTCAGCCATCCTCCTCTTACCTTGCAGACCAGTTCCTCCCTGCACTCCGGGGTGTCCAGGCAGGTGCGGATCAAGGCTTCCCAGTCCGCCAGCGATATAAATACCATCTACCAGCCTCCTGAGCCCAGAAGCAGGCACCTCTCTGTTGGTGAGTATTTCACCCTTTGTCTTCCCTCGCATCTAACTTATCGGCCCACGTTTAAAAAGCTCAACAACTATCTATTGGTTAGAAATCATCATTAAGCATTCACTGAGCGCCGTTCCAAGCAGAATTACGCTCTGCCCTTGTTTGGAGAGCACAGCAGGGAGATGACTGGCACGGTGTCCTGGCTTTCGAAGAGCTTTTGATAGTGGGATGTAATGGTGTGATAAGACCCCCTTTACAAGGTCCTTGATCTCACCAAACCACTGCTTGAATGTCTCTCTGGACAGCAGCAGTCTACCCTCAGCCTTTTGTTCCTCCTTGACTGAAGTGCCCTCGTTAGAAATCAGCTCCAAGTTTGAGTTTATACCTCTAACCTTTGACCTGTTTCCTAAAGAGTCCTTAAGATTCTGAGAAGATGTTGGCCAGGGACACTCTGGAGAGTCCAGCTGAGCTGTCTCGGTAGGCAGGAGACTGCCAGGGGGCTAGGTAGTATGAAGGCTGTGTCACTGTGCCAGGCCCCCCAGGAAAGGAGTCTCCATCAGATCTCTGTTACACCAGGAAACCCAGCATTGCTCTGGACCCCATTTCCCAGAATGCCCATTTCTCAAGGGGGAAAGTTGTATCAGTAGAAAGCAGGCCTCATCACCTTCCTGTCTTAAAGTTGCTGAAACTCTGCTGCCATTAGGAAGCCCTGACCACACAGGTAGAATTGTTGCTAACTAAATGGCTCTCAGAGAAGCCCTGGTGGCAAAGTGGTTACCAGTGGGCTGCTAACTGCAAGATCAGCAGTTCAAAACCATCAACTGCCCCTCAGGGAAAAGATGAGGCTTTCTTCTCCTATAAAGAGTTGCAGACTCAGAAACGCTCAGGGGCAGGTCTTCCCTGCCCTACAGGGTTGCTATGAGTCAGAATTGAGACCATGGCTGTGCGGTAGTGCGTAAGTGAAACTGCTCTCTGATGATGCCGATCTGTGTGTCAGCCCTGTGGCTGAGCTTGTCTGGGAGGGACGTGCTTCTGAGGGAGTTGCAGGAAAAGTGTGTTCCTGAAGCACTGGAGAAATTTCTGGAACCTGGGCAATAAGAGTTGCCAAGCTGGAAGTCTGTGCACAAGTCTCACATTTCTCTGATCAGTGATGGCCAAGTTTCCAGAAGGGTGACAGAGGTGAGAGTGGCAAGGAGACCCTAAACAGGGCATTTCTGGGCCTGAACTCAGGGGCCCTGGAGCACATGAGGTGACTGGAGCTGGACCTGGGGCAGGTGCACCTTAGTCCTTAAAGTGTGAACCACGATTAAAAGGTGTGTAGTGAATGAGACTGGATCTGGGGTCAGAAAAACCTTAGGCTCCAATCTGAAGCCTGAGAGTAATTACACCCTGGGGATCTGGGAAGGCACTTCCCTTCCCAGGGAGCTGCAGGTACAAAGGTCTGATGGACAAGTGATGTGTCCGAGAAACAGGAGGTAACTCAAACCAAGCCTGTTGCCGTTGAGTCAGTACAATGACCCTCTAGGACAGAGGTGCTCTGTTGGCACCGGCAGGTAAGCATTGGATCGCTAACTGCTAGGTCCGTGATTCGAATCCACCCACTGTTCGTCAGGACGAAGACGAGGCTGGTTGCTTCCGTAATGCATTACGAGGCTGTAGGCTTTACAGCAGCAGACAGCCACGTCTTTCTCGTCAGTGGCTGGCAGGTTCAGACTTCTGACTTGTCGGTTAGCTGCTGAGTTCTTCACCACTGTGCCACCTTAGAAAGAAGGTACGTCATGCCAGTTTAAGGAGCCGGGCAGCTCATGTCCTGAGAACAAAGACAGCGCTGAGAGACCTCTGAAGGCTCCTGTCGGTTCAGAGGCGTCTGGAGCAGGAGGCAGAGCCTTGTAGAGCTCAGTGGAGTTGAGATTCTGATCTCCACCGCAGTGGAAAGTCACACTAAGGTTAGCTTTTCAAATGAGGAAGAATCTCGGAGTGGGTTAAGAAAGATTTAAAAGTTTTTACAAGATGGGTCCGGCTACAGTGTGGAGAGTCGATCAGAGGGAGGCAAGCCTGGACCTGGGGGAACCATATGGACTGACTGCATTGATCCGGCTGACAGATGAGCAGGGTGCTCTCTGTATGTAGTGCAGAGGAAAGAGCAGGCTGATGTGAGACTCAGCAAGGCGATGTTTGTCACTGCAGCAGTTTACAGAGTGTGGTCTGGAGGCCCTGGGAGACTCCTGCGACCCCTTTCAGGGATGTGCAAGGTCAAAGATATTTCTATAATAATCCTAAGGTATTATTTTTCTTTTTCATTCTCATTCTCCTGTGAGTAAACAGTGGGGTTTTCCAGAAGGCATTGCCTGTGGTAATGTCATTGATCTAATTGCTAATGGAATGTATGCTCATGTAGTAAGCACTGTTTTAAAACCTGAGTTTTAATTTCCAGTGTAGGAAATGATGGATATTACCCACATAAAGAAAAACTCTTCTAAGTTCTTCCCTTTTAAAGCGTAAAGGCGTTCTGAGACTGAAAGATGTCAGGCTACTGAGGGATGGGGCTGGACTTGCAGGAGTTGGGGAGGGGGGGAGGCAGATTACTGGTGTCTGCATCCAAACGATGGCATCCTTTTACCAAGGCTGGAATGCCAGCAGGGAGGCCAGGTCTGGGGGGCAGAAGAGCACAAACCTCATCTTTTAGATACGTTGGCTTGGAGGTGACTTTGAGCTGCCTTAGAGGAGCCATCAAAGGGTCTCTAGCTCAGAGGGGAGAAATCAGAGCTAAAGACAAAAATAAGGAACATTTCAAATCTGAGCCACGAGCCCAGATGCCAGCCAAGGCAGAGATTCCGGGCTCTGACGGGACCCTGGAACTGGGTTTAGGAACCTGCACACTTAGTGCCAGTCAGAGGCAGGTGAGCCTGCAGAGGACACAGGAAAGCAGTGCCCAGAGAGGCAGACGGAGAATTAGGAGCTTGTGGGAGGAGGCTTTGCGTGGGGTGAGTAAAGTGGGAAAGGATGGCCCGGAGTCATTTCCCTCCACAGACGTGAGAGTGCTCGCTGTGCAGGCTGCAGAGTCAGGCCCCCTGGAGTAGAGAGACTGAGAAGGGCGGCAGAAATGGGTGGAGGGCGCCTGGCTGGTATAGTAAGTAAGCCTTTGCAGTTCGGTCGCCCCCTCTGTCCCCACTAACACCTCTGAGTCTTTAGTGAGACCTGCTGGGGAGAGAGCAAGGAAGCCCAGGCCAGTCTCAGAGGGCTCTGCCTATTTGAAGGGCCTCCTGGTTTTGTTTGTTGTTGTTGTTTTTGCTGGGCAATGAGCTTGTAAACAAGGGGATACAAATAGTTGTGCGACCCTCCTGATCTAACTCTCATTCTGCTCTCATGAACCACACAGATACGCTCCCTTTCAGAGGGCACCTTTCCTTTTCAAAATGTTGAAGCCAGCTTCCATGTTCCTGCTCTGTGCTTTCCATCATATTGCACATGCTTTGATTCCCGCCCCCCGCCCCCACCCCCCAAAAAAGCCATTTAGTCTGTTAAACTGGCTCAGGTCTGAAAATCAGAACACCGCCGAGAAACTGCTAGGGAATGCATTAACCTCTTCGAGCAAGGCAAGAGTTTTCCCCGCAAAAAAGTTGCCCTTCCTCCCATTTTTGTCTGTGGAAATTCCACGCACCTTTGAAGGAAGAAGCTCACCAACCATTTCTGGACTTGTCTCTGCCCCAGTCTGGCTCCCATTTGGCTCAGTACACCTTCCTAAGTCCCATCTTTCGCCCTACCTTGCCACTAAACCCCCGTGTGGCAAGCCAGACTGCATCCCTCAGGAGTGGGTGGCTGACTAGTAGAGATAAGCAGGGTTGAGGAGTTTAGCTCTGAAAGACAAAAAGAGATGGGCTGGGAGTTACGGGAGCAGCGGAAACGAGGTTCAGGCACTTTCAGGCTAGAGAGCCGAGTGTGTCCATGAAGGTGGCAGGGAAAGGAGAGCGTGAAGGCAGGCCGGGGAGGGGCCTCCATGGGGAGCTGTTGGCAGCCCAGGGAGGAGGAAAGCGGGGGACCCTTTCTGCCTCTGAGAGGAAGGTATTTAGCAAGGTGAAATGGCTTGTCGTGACATTGGTTGTCAACCTGTGCATAATACACTCATCCATCCCTGTCCGGCTTGGAAAGGCTGGCGGTCGGGACCGCAGAGGCAGTGCCCAGAATGGTAGAACCCAGGGGTCGTTTTCCTTCACCTCCAAAGGCTCTTCCCGTTGCCTGTGTTCAACACCTTCTGTGATTGCAGACAAGACTAGAAACCGTTTCATGGTGATAGCAACAGCAAAAGAAAATAGAAAAAGTTACAGCATACAGGCTGTTCTTGGCCGAATGGGGTGTCAGTGTGGGGCAGCAACAGCGTTTTGCATGGCCAAGGCCAGGGGAGCTTGGTGGGACACACTAGGGAAGACTAGGTGAGGGATTTCGATTGAGGGGGAAAGTAGAAGTGATTCAGACCCCTGCCCACACCCCAGGAGAGAAAGGAGCTTGGGGAAAATAGTTGATGGTCAGAGAACGCTCCCTTTGTACTTGCAGTGACCTGCACATTAGGGCTGACCCACAGCCCTAAGGCTCCCTGTGGAGGTCACTTCCTGCCTGCACCAGCTTCCTGAGGAGGAGACTCCTAGGAGAAGGGCTGTGATCCAGAGCCTAGCCTTCAGCTTGGAGGCAGAGTCCCCAGGGAGAGTTTATCTGCTCCTCGGGGTTTAGGAGCCAGCAGAGGACTGACCTGGGAAGGGTGGCCTTGCCTTCTTGAGAAGTCCTGGGCCCCTCTGAACGGATGGCTGCTGTTCTGTTCCTTTGCTGCCACCCGTGCTGAGATGAGGCCCCCAGACCCTCACAGCCTGGTGGAAGCCATGGCACCGTGAGGCTGGGAGGCCAGAGGAGGCTACCCAGGAGAAACTGCGAGCTTTGAATGGCCCTGTGGCTTGCACCGTGGAGGCTCACTGCCCTCTCTACTGGTAGAGCGTGTTCAGCCTGCAGTCTCGCTTCATCTTGACTGCTGTTGTGTGTCTCCTTGGCTCCCACTTTCTGAAATGAAGATAAAAACAAAACTGAAAATGCTACAGAGCCATTCTGCCAACTCTTGGTTTTTCCATTCGCTTCCTCTGATAGCCATTGGTTTGGGGAGACTTCCCTTTCCTGCCCCAAGCTGTGGGCCTATGCACAATGGCCCCTGGCCCAGTGCCCATCAGATAAGGAGGCCGGCTCTCTGCAGGCAGCAACGTGTACTGGAAAAAGTGAAAGTCTCTGGCTAGAAATTAAAGCACTGCCGAGAGCTCTGCCGGCCTCCCGCCCAGCGTGCCAGCCTCGGTGAGCTCATGCAGCCCACCTGCAAGGCCCCGGAAAGCTCGAGGGTGGCTCAGGACGAGAGTGGCAGGCAGGTGACTCTGTGCCTTTGCTCCCAGGGATGGCTCTTGCCAAACAGAGGGCAGGTCATCTTGTCAGAGGATGATTTTGACCAGAATCTGGGATTTCATCAGTAAGTGAGAGGTTTCTTGCCGGCCCCTCCATCCCTGACAAGAGGCATCTTCTATTTGCTCTAGTGCAGCATGCAGTTTTTTCTCTCCCGGAGTGTAGATCAGAGACGCAGTGTATGGCCTAACTAGGGGATGGCTGACAGAGAAGACCAGGGTAACTCCCACCGTGACTGGGCTCCCTCCCGCTGTGGGTGGGATCTCCAGGCCAGTCATGGGGCGCCCACACCTGTCTCTGAACATTGTCAAGGCTGGAGACCAGGTTGGAGAAAAAGAGCCCAGACCTGCTTCCCTTGAGTTGACGTCGACCCTACTGGACAGAGTTGAACTGCCTCATCGAGTGCTCTCTTATGGAAGCAGACTGCCACAGCTGTCTCCCTTGAAGCGGTTGGTGGGCTCAAACTGCCAACCTTTCAGTTAGCAGCCAGTGCTTCACCTGCAGTGCTACCAGGGCGCCTTCCCCAGTGTAGGCCCTTTGCAAATGCTGCAGCAGAAAGACCAAAGGCGTCTGTGGCGCTCCAGAAATAGCGGGAGTCGCAGCTACAGCATTTAACTGAGTAGCACGAAAGCGTGCTAGATGGGCAGGTGCATAAGTCCTTGTATCTGCTACACAGTGCAGAAAGCACGTTAGATTCTATTGAGTTCCTCCCAGGAGCTCGTGCCATTTACCTACACACACCTGTGTCACCACATTCATACTTTCCCCAAGGATCATGAGGTAGACAGCTCTAAGTTTCTGGTGTAGGGCGTCAGCTTTAAGATGGTTAAAATGGAAATGTTATTGTTGTACATATTTTACTATAAGAGTCTTAAGCGAAAGAGAGAGGAAGGGGTCAGCAGTTGGTCATCCCATCTACCATGTAGAATGAGTCAGGCTCCCCCCAAACCTTCAGCCACCAGGCTCCTTTCTCTCTCTCTCTCTCTCTCCCTCTCCCTCCCTCCCTCCTCTAGCTACATCCCTCTGGAGCATTGTGCTTGCAGCTTCGTTCCAGGAAACGCTGTGCTGCATGCAGGCCTGGACTGGACTGGAGTCGGGATGGTGTGGGCACATGAGATAAGAGAGTAGCGGGCCTCGGGTTGCTGCTTTTCTACGTAGCAGGGTTAATTTGTTCCCTCAAGCAGGAAGGAGCAGAGCTCAGGATAAGAGGACTATATTTAAATCGTGGAGCAATCCAAAATCACGGCATGTAGTTATCCTCAAAGCTTTCCTGAGCCTTCTAATGGCTGAAGCCTCTGGTTTGCCCAGTAAGTTTCGAAAAGAAAAAGATACAAACTCCTGGCTTCATCTTTGTCGACTTCTCTGGTCATGGAGACAATCATGGAGTCAAAAAATGCTGAGCTGGGTGAGAGCAGGGAGACCGGTTTACCCAGAGTCAAAAACCTTCTGACAGAAAAGCATGGTGTACTGACTCATGATGCTTTTGCATGCAGTGATATTAGAGCGGCAAACCACTCCATCCTACCAGCTCACATGAACCTACCTATTGCTGTGGCTCATGGTGACCCTATAGGATAGAGTAGAACTGCCCCAGGGTGTTTCCATGGCTGTACGTCTTTACGGGAAAAGACTGACATGTCTTTCTCCCCACGGAGCTGCTGGTGGGTTTGAACCACTGCCCTTTGGTTGGCAGCTGAGCACTTAACCACTGTGCCACCAGGGGTCCTTGGTGTGGTAAGAGTGATGAGTAAATTGACCTTACACATGAGAGGTGTGCCTCTCTTAGCCCTGTAATGCACACAGTGCCTGCTTCCTAGAACTCGGGTACTTGCTGAGAGGAACGAAAGATTCCTCTCCTGTTGAGTAAAGCAGATACTTCCCTTCAGGATCGATGGAAAAATTCACCTTCCAGAATGCCTAGCCTTCATAAGCACCAGCAAGTATTTGTCAGGCCCCCATTGTAGAGCTGTTGAAATCCAATAAGGTCATTTTTCAGTGTACAACTCAACATGAAGCATCGGTGCAAGATGATGACTAGAAGGGTAGGCATGGGTAAGACTGGAGAATGGGCCTCTTGTTCCTTGCATTTTACACTGGGGGGGGGCTTTTTGGGGGTGTTTTATTTAGGGGGTCTTCTTACTGATACAAGGAGCCCTGGGTTACTAGTTGACCTGCAAGCCACAAAGTCAGCAGTTTGAATTAAACCAGCTTCTCAGTGGGAGAAAGAGGAGGCTGTCTGCGCCACTAAAGATTTAGTCTTGGAAACCCAAAGGGGCAATTCTCTGCCCTGCAGGGCTGCTGTGCGATGAGTTGGAATTGACTCAATGGCAGTGGGTTGGGTTGGGTTGTCTTACCTGATACAGGTAGAGACGGAGAAGGGGAGACCAACTGGAGGAACAGGACAGCAGAGAAAGATGGAGCCAGATGCAGGTCCTGTTGGCTCCTTGGGATCCAAAAATTCAGGAAGACTGTGCCAATGTGCTGACCGATTTCCCAAATGTGACCTTGGCTGGGAGGAAGTTGTGAGGAATGGCATTGGTGCTCTAGAGAGATAAGGAATCAGGAGTGGTGTTATTGAGGAATTGTTAGGTGTCAAAGATTTTTAAACTTGTTCTGATTGCCAACTTAAGTTGATTTAATGGAGTTTTCTGGTTTGTGTCTGTGCCAAGGTTCTCGGCCTTCTATACTCTAGTGCTCCATCTCGGGAGTAAGCTGCTTCTCAGGAAGTATCTTTATTTGTGCCCCCACCCCACCCCCCTTCTGGAAGCCAGCCTATCAGAGTTAGATCCCTGACTTCTATCTAGGACCTGGTATCTTGAAGCCAGCCCCGAGTCGGGTTCTGTCTCAGGCTGTGCAGCTTGGGCCCTGTTGTCAAAGACCTTGTTTGTATGCCTCAGGCTCCCAGAACCCCGGCCGGAGCTCACCTCCCCCTGGCTATGTACCTGAGCGGCAGCAGCGAATCGCCCGGCAGGGCTCCTACACCAGCATCAACAGTGAGGGGGAGTTCATCCCAGAGACCAGCGAGCAATGCGTGAGTATGGGGTCCCAGGCATGACCAGGAGTGTGTCAGCCCAGTAGTACAACAGGGCTTCTCAGTGGGCAGTGTGCAGAGATGAGCGGCACTTTGTAAACCAGAGCTGCCCCATATGGACTGCTCCTGTGTAGGGTTCAGTGTCGATTCCTGCCAAAGACAGCTCTAAAATGCTTGGTACGTGTTCCTCTTCTGTGATCAGATCTCTCTCAGAACCCCGCCCTGCTCTGTATACTTCCTTCCACTATCTGTCTTCGAGTCAGTGGGATTATAAACATACTACCAACCCTAAATGGACAGCGTTTGGTTTTCGTTGGTTGATTCCTTGGCTGGCAGGGAGGTAAACGATATCCAAATGACCCTGTGGTATTGGTTACTTTGGGAGAACTTTTTTGATGGTAGACGGCTGTATAATTGCTACATAACAAATCATCACAAGTGTACAGCTTAAAACAGCATACACTGACTGTTTCACAGCCTCCCAGGTCTGGGCCTGCCTTAGCGGGGCTCTCCTCTGAGGACAGCAAAGCTGCAGTTGCAGGTGCTGGGCTGTCTGTCTCCCTCCAGAGCATGAGGTTCTCTTCGTGCTTAGGGGTGGGCAACAGGATTCACTTCCTATGGTTGCTGGCTGTCAGCCAACGACTGCTCTTTGCTCCTTGAGACCACCCTCAGTTACTTGCCCCCTGACACTCAGATATGCCAGCTCGCTTCTTCAAGTCAGCACTCTGCAAAGACGGAGTCTCGTCTACTGTAACATAACCGCAGGAGGAACTGCTGTCTCTGCCGTACTCTGAGCTAGAAGCAAGTCACAGGTTCCAGCTGCACCCAGGGACGGGATTATATAAAGGTGTGACTCCCTGGAAGGTCACTTTAGGCTCTGTCCACCACAGTAGTCTACTTATATTTTAGTGGTTGGTTTTCTTGAACCGGTGATCAACTTGCTGAAAATGGCTGTTTGGCCTAATGGATTCAGCAAGAGATCTGGCTTCAGTTCCTGGAATTTTGCTCCAGGAAGAGGACCTTTCTTTTGCTTGTTTTTCTTTAGTCATTTTATTGGGGGATCCTACACCTCTTATCACAATCCATACATACATTCACTGTGTCAAGCACATTTGTACATATGTTGAAGAAGATATTTCTTAAGGGTAAAATATCCAATAGAAGGGCCAGCAGCATTGTGTGAGGGATTTTGCAAAAATCGGATTTCCTCCCCGTCCCTCCAAATAGCTAATCTGTGTACTGCATTATTCAAATTAGTCAGGCTATAAGATGCCCTTAGCAACGACTTATGCCCTGTCCCCTGCCTTCCAGGTAAAATTATGTTTGGAACCATACTGTCAAGTGTCTTTGGCTGCAGATTCTCACTAAGGGATTTTACCTGCCATCCTTTTACTTTCTCTAACTGGCAGCACCTCCTAGTTTTCCATCTCTTCTACAATGTCAAATCGCTGTCTTTTCATGCCCCTCTTCGTTCGAGGAAACAAAAAGAAGTCACATGGAGTGAGGTCAGGTGAGTCAGGTGCATGGGGCAAGAGTGAGGCATGCTGTTTTTTGTCAAAAACTGGCACTCTGAGATGGCTGTGTGAGCAGGTGCATTATTGTGGGGGCAAAACCAGTCCCCCATCTGCCACAAATCAGGCCTTTTTTGTCGCACACTGTTATGCAATCTTTTCAGAGCCTCTAAATAGAAAGCTTGATTAACAGTCTGACCTGGTGGAATGAACTCCAAATGCACTACCCCCTCATATAAAAAAAAAGAGCATCGTCTTGATCTTTGATTTTACTTAATGAGCTTTTTTGGTGTGAGGTGGCTTGATTGATGTTTACTTGCAGGGTCGTAAGAATAGCACCATGTCTTGTCACCAGTAATGACCTTGGAAAAAAGTCTGAGTCACTTCAAGGCTGTTCTTTCAGTGCACAGCATGTTTCCACTTAAGGCTCTTTTAGCTGGTCTGTCAGAACCCAAGGCACAAGTTTTACAGTGACCCCTCTCATTCCCAAATCTTCCATTAAAATCCGCTGAACCACGCTCCAAGATAGTCCAAACAACACCCCCATTTCTTCAGTGTCCATTGTCGGTCTTCAAGCACAAGTGCACGGATTTTTTTGACATTTTCTTAGGTTTGGGAAGTTGACAGATGTCCAGATTGAGGTTTGTTCTCAATCAACATTACGAGGTTTTCCCATAGCACTGTCCTTCTAGGCTGGGTTCAACATCACAACAGTTTCTGAGACATTTTTCCAGTGCAGGAAACAACATTTCCCAGCTGAATGTTGTACTCTTAAATCGGCCATCACAAAAAAGACAAGGTTCAAGCAAAACCGCTTTTACGAAAATATGTGCTGTGCCCAGAGAGAACCGTCCCAGGCAACACCACTGGGTGTTCTCACTTAGAGGGAGCTGCTCGATGGTCGCCTAGTGGGAAAAACATGTATCATGAAAGCCCCGCCTTGCGGAATGTTTTTTCTGTTTTTTATTTTTTGGTACCCCCTACTATGCCTTTTACTATGTTGAGGAGGTTCCTTCTATTCCTGTTTCGTGGATAGGTGTATTTTGTCAAGTGCCTTTTCTGCATCAATTGAGAGCAATCTTTGGTTCTTGTTTTATTTCTAAATGGTGAATTGCATTGGCTGAGCCATCCGAGCATACCTGGGATGCATTGCACTTGGTCATCACGATAGACACACACACACAGAGTGGGATTCTATTGACTAGGAAATTTTTTTTTAACTTTTTGCATCTATGAAGTTCATAAGGGATATTGGTGTATAATTTTCTATTCTGGGGCTGTCTTTGGCTGGTTTTGGTATCTGGCTTATGCTTACTTCCTAGAGTGAGTTAGGGGGGTTGCGGTCTTTTCTTCTGGGATGATTTGAGTCGAGTTCGTGTCCACTCTTCTCTGCATGTCTGGAAGAGCCCCAGGCCCACCCTTTGTCCCTACACCGGTGTGGTTGTGGCTGTGGGGAGTTCTTTCATGACCTGGTCAACGACTTCTTTTGATCTGGGTCTGTGCCTTTGTCTACTTCTGTCTGTGCTAGCTGAGGTAGATAGTGTGTTTCTAGACATTCGTCTCTTCTAGGCTTTTACCTTGGTTGGAGTATTGTGTTATTATCTCAGCCAATTTAATTTATTTGTGATATTTGCATCTTTGTTAGGTTTGCCAGTTGCTGGTCAATTTTGTTAATCCTTTCAAAGAACTAACTCCTTGTCTTGTTGGGTCTGTTGTTTTTATGTTCTTTGATTCATTTATTTCTACTCTAATCTTTATTATTTCTTGTTTTCTAATGGCTGAGGGTTTATTTTACTGTTTTTATTCTAATTGTTTCAGATGTGATTAAGGCATTGATTTTGGTTGTTACTTTGTCTGATGTGTGCATTTAATGCTAATAAACATTGCCCTCTTAGAAGTTTTGGTATGTTGTATTTTTATTCTCATTTGCTTTAGGAAATTTAAAGTGTCCATTCCTTATTTCTTCAATTACCCAGTAGTTTTTAAGTAGAGTGTTATTCAATTTTTGTTTGTAGTTGAATTTTTTCTTTGATCTTCCTATTATTGATTCCCAATTTTATAGCTCTGTGATCTGAGAAGATGGTTTGTAATATCTCAATGTTTTTATTTATTTTAAATTTTGTATTAAGGCTTGCTTTTGTAACCTAACCTATGATCTGTTCTAAGCAATGTTCCACGTACTGGAAAAGAATGCATGTTGTTGGGGGGCCTATTCTATATATAGCTAAGAGGTCGCATTGACTGGTTCTTCTAAATCTTCACTGACGCTCTCTCTAGTTTTGTCCTTCCTCAAGACTGGTGATGGAAGTCTTCTGTTATTATTATTATTAATATTTTTTAATCATGTTATTAAGGCCTCATACAACTCTTATCACAATCCATACATACATCAATTGTGTAAAGCACATTTGTACATTCATTGCCCTCATCATTCTCAAAACATTTGCTCTCCATTTAAGCCCCTGGCATCAGCTCATTTTCCCCCTCCCTCCCCGCTCCCCCCTCCCTCATGAACCCTTGATAATTTATAAAATATTGTTTTGTCTTATCTTGCCCTGTCCGTTGTCTCCCTTCACCCACTTTTCTGTTGTCCGTGCCCCAGGGAGGAAGTTATATGTAGATCCTTGTAATCGGTTCCCCCTCTCCACCCCACCCTCCCTCCACCCTCCCGGCCTTCTGTTATTATTGTAGTGTTGCCTCTTTCTCACTTCAGATCTATGACTTTGATGGATGTAGTTTGAGGACCCTTCATTGGGAGCATAGATACTATGATTAAGTCTTCATGTTCAGTTGCACCTTTGACCATGTGTCATGCTCTTCTTTGTCTCTCATGGTAGATTTTTCAGGGAAGTCTATTTTGTCAGATTAACATTGCTATTCTTGCTTGTTGTTGCTATCTTGAGTTTGATACATTCCCCTTCCCTTTGGCTTTGAGTGTGTTTTGTCTTTGTATCTGTGGTGTGCTTCTTGTAAGCAGCATATCACTGGGTCCTATTTTCTTATTCAATATGTTGTTTTCTATTTCTTTTTTTCTTTTTTTTTAATTTTTAATTTTTTGTTTTCTATTTCTTGACTGGTACATTGAACCCATTTACAGTGAAAATCATGGGTGGATGGGATTGTGTTGCTATCATTTAGCTGTATGGTTGGTGTGTGTGTGTGTGGGGGGGCGTTCATCTTCCTACTTTCCGTGCTGAGTTCCTTTTGTGACTTTTATTGCCTTTCTCTTCACTTCTGTTTTACTCTTGACGGGACTCTGTGCTTTTCTTCTCGTTTGTTTTGATGGGTTTGTCCACTTTCTTTGAGGCTGCATCTTTGCTAGTCCTGTGTATCACATCTGCCATGTTTTCCTTGTCAGTTTCTTTCTCCTGTGCATTAGTCTAACTTTACCAAGTATACACTTCATGCATCAAGAACCATTTTTTCCTAAAGTGATGTAACCCACGGAAATTCTGTTTAGCCCATCTCGAGAGTGTAATTAAAGTTTAACTTTGCAATTAATTTACCTGTACTGGCAGTTTTCTAATGACAGTATAACCTAAGGCATGTAACATTGTTGGTAGAAATGGGTCCTAGTGTTAACTATAAAGAGGTAATTGAGTTGGGAACGAATTTTTTGTTTCTCTGTGAATGTTCCTAATTCAGTGCTTCCCTATGCAGTGTTTAACTTTGGAGCTCTGATAAAGGAGGTCTCCCTGTCGAGTGAAAGTGACCAGCACAGCGGCAGGCCCTTTGGTTACTGCATTGGACAAAGGGCCAGAGAAGCCATTTGTCCAGGTCCCTCTTGCATCTGAACCAAGAACTGGGAGGTTTTTGTTTGGGGGCTAGCTGAGTACTAGGCCGGCCGATGACTGTAGACAAGTCTCCTGACCCCTCTAGGTCTGCAGTGACTGGGCGGTGAAGTGAGGCCAGTACTTGTCTTGGTCGGTTTTAAATGATAAGAGTGTAAGCAGAAGCATCCCAGCCCCACCCAGCCTCCTTGGAAGCCTCTGCAGGGTAGTACCATCTCCAGCACCGAAGCCAATGTTACTGAGCCAAGAAAATGCCAACAAGAGCAGCTGCGTCTCCGCTTTGCTCTCCTGGCACAGCTCCTGGAGATGCCAGGCAAACACCTCCCTTCTGGGAACTGGTGGAGAATGGCACCTTCCTCACCGGGCTTCCCACTGCACTGCCTTCTCACTTCAAGGCCCCTGTGCTGGCTCTGGCTGGGCCATTGCCCTGGGTCACCTGGCTGGAGTCTTATAGGGACTGGGGTTTTATTGTGTGGCTTGTCTTGCAGATGCTGGATCCTCTGAGCAGTGCTGAGAATTCCTTGTCAGGGAGCTGCCAGTCTTTGGACAGGTCAACAGACAGGTATGGGACAGAATATGAGCTGGTTTGGCAGGGTGTGTGTGTGAGAGAGAGAGAGAGAGAGAGAGCATTTCAGGTTCTGATCTAGAAAGCTCTGCTGGCCCCACAACTCCTGGGGTTAAACATCATTCTCCGAGGGAAAGAAAGAAACAATCACTGGTTTGCTAGCAATGTTCCCTGTCCTTATTTTTCCAAACACCTGGCGTATGTCCTGTCTGCTTTGTTACACAGATCTGATAATAGATCAGAAGGGCAGGCCATGATCCATATCTCCACACTCGTCCTCTCCTAGCCTCGCCACAGTCACCTGGATGAGGGAGAGCAGGCCTTTGGTGTTTTGGGGGGAAATGAAAGAATTATTCACAAGTTTACTTTTTTTTTTTTTTTTTCTCTCTTTCAAATTTTTCTGGTGGGATAGGAACTAGTAGATAAAAACCAGTCAAGAAGAGCCCACTTCTTTCTTGAGGTTTCAAAACAGCTCTGTCCTCCATGAAAACGTTGCTGTGCTTGAGCTGATGCAGCTCTCACCTCAACTTCGCGAGGACCAAGCCCAGACCGATCACCCCTGACTGGGCCCAGGGTGACAGGCAGAGGCTCTGGAGCAGGGTTGGGACTGTTCCTCCCTTTGTGGGACCGATTCATTGTCCTCATGCGTCCTGCACTGGTGGCCTGGCCGAGTTTGTGCTGTATCTGTCCTACCCAATGTGTGCCCCAAGGAGAGGGGTGCCGTCTGCTCCAGAGACCACAGAACAAGTACAAAGGGTAGCCTTGCCTTGGGCTTGCTCTTGAACTAGGGAGCCAGGAGTTGGAGAGCCCGCAGACCAGGACTGACTAGCTGTGGGTTGCCTCCCCTGCTTTGCAGCCTTGGGCCATGGCCGTTCCTCGGTTGGACGGGGTCCTGGCAGAGTCCTGGTAGGTAGGAAGTGGGGGCAGCTGCAGACTGGAGAGGACCTGCCTCAGGGCGCTCGGAAGGGATCGGTGGGGAAGGGGAAGAGCCCTCCAGGTACACAACTGGGAGAGAGATGTGTCTATTCACCTCCCTGTTCTTGGAGTCTCCCTCTGTCCTTACAGGAATGCTTTGAATTCTCTTCTTCCCCTGGGGCCTGAAGCTCAGGGAACAGCGCTGACTCTCTGGGTCTTGCCCCGACTTGAGCTCGGGGCTCTTCTGCCTCTCAGACATCAGAGCTGAGCGAGGCCTCGGTCCAGTCCCAGCTCTGTCACACACGGGGAGCTGAGCGACAACCCTGAGCTCCCCGGAGACGGGGTGGGAGGGAGTCCTCTGAGAGGACGGCTGAATGGAGTGGCCGAGGCATAGGCTATGGACCTGCACTTGGAGTTGCCTTCCGGCTCTGCTGCATGCTCACTATACTCCTGGGCAGTCAGCCATGTAACTTTTGGGCACCTCCGTTTACCCATTTATAAAACAGAGACTTAATAGCCACCTGGTTGCTCTGTGTGAGGAACACCAAATAGCAGAGTAGCAGCTAGCCTGCGCTTGGGACATGCTGTTCATTTGCGGCAGTCTCTTTCCTGCCTTCCTGGTGGTGAGAAGTAAATGAGAAAGCGCCCGTTTGTCCGGTAACTGAATGCAGACACTGGTTAGTACCTTTCACCTGGGACAGCCTCAGGCTGAGGTGGGAAGCCACGTGCCCGGGGTGGAGTCCTGTAGGATGTGGGCCACAGACAGGGAAGGGGGCGGGCAGGGGAGGCACTTTCTCAGCTTGCCAGGCGTGATAACGTGGGAGGGAGCCGAGCTGGGCTTGGAAGCCCATCTGGACATCCTGCCTCCCGCCCAGGCAGCGCTGCTGCAGCCTCTGTTGTGATTTCTTTCTGTTCTCTGCAGCCCATCCTTCCGGAAGTCACGAATGCCCCGTGCACAGAGCTTCCCTGACAACAGGCAGGAGTACTCTGGTGAGTCCCGTGGGTGGGTCCTGGGTGAGCAGAGTGCTGGGGAGGGTCTGTGTGCAGTGTCGCAGCTCTGTGCTGTCACGCCCTCCGGCCACTGCTCCAAGGTCTCTGCACCCCGTTCCCTGTCTCCTACCCAGATCGGGAAACTCAGCTCTATGACAAAGGAGTCAAAGGCGGGACCTACCCCAGGCGCTACCACGTGTCTGTGCACCACAAGGACTACAACGATGGTGAGCCTGCCTGCATCCTGCCCTCTGCTGGCCACCTGGGAAAGGGCGGATAGGGACTGCATTACAGGCAAGCGCACTGCAAGGGTGTGGGCTTTCCTGTATTCCCGAGGAACAGCTCGGAAGCACTGGCATCAAAAAGATAGGAGGGATGACATTTATAAACCAAGGTGCTGCCTGTGGGCACTGTCTTCTGATCCCACGGTCAGTGGCATCAGCTCCCAAACAAGCACAAGGGCCTGTGAGCCGTGACTGTGCAGCACAGAGCCTTCAGCCCCAGAGTGGCTGACGGGTGGCCAGGGCCTGGGGGACCATCCCTGCGCCTTCCCCTTAGCCAGGCCCCCTGAACCATCTGGCCACAGTGGCGTCCTCCTTCCTTCTTGAGCCTTGGCCCTCGGGTGTGATGCTGTCTGGCCCCCTCACTGCCCGCTCGGACACTGCCTGTCCGGTGCCTGACCTACTCTGCTCTGCCTGTGCACCCTTAGGCAGAAGGACATTCCCGAGAATACGTCGCCATCAAGGCAACTTGTTCACACTGGTGCCCTCCAGCCGCTCCATGAGCACCAACGGCAAGAACCTGGGCTTGGCCGTGCAGTACCTGGACCCCCGTGGGCGCCTGCGGAGTGCAGACAGCGAGAACGCCCTTTCTGTGCAGGAGAGGAACGTGCCAACCAAGTGTGAGGAGGGGGCACGGGGTCCATGGGCTGTTGGGGTGGACCTGGCACCTCTCCCCACCTTCAATCCCATGTTAAGACAGTTAACGTGCTTTGGAGCGTTAAGGCATTTAATGGCTGCAGGAGACATTTAGTCATGACCTTAGCGGGCCCTCTGCTGGGGTTGGGGATACTGTCCTGAGAGGCAGGAGGTGCCGCGGGAGGGCCATCATACGGCCCTGGGGGACACAGGCAAGTCAGATAAACCTTGTTTTTCTTTCTCTTCTCCTGCAGCGCCGAGTGCCCCCATCAATTGGCGCCGGGGGAAGCTCCTGGGCCAGGGTGCCTTCGGCCGGGTCTATCTGTGTTATGATGTCGACACGGGGCGTGAACTCGCTTCCAAGCAGGTCCAGTTTGACCCAGACAGTCCTGAGACAAGCAAGGTACTGCCAGAGCCTTGGCTCAGGAAGCTACAGGCTGCTTTCTCGGTTGCCCTTCCTCCCAAGCTCCCTAGTTCGAGGCCTGACCCTGAGGTGAAGGGGCTCCAAAGAGCACCCGGCCCCAGGCCTGGGGAAATTAAGCCTCAGGAGGCTGTGACCATTCTCACTCCGAGCCCCTCGCTCACTGCTCCTCCAGCCCTGGGCCCTGCTTTTGGGAACCTACGGAGCCTCTCTTTGGAGTGGAGCTCGAGGTGTAGACAAGTGCTAGCACCAGCACCCCCCTTTCCCCAGGGCACTCTGCACCCCAAGGGTGCTCTGGGTTGCAGCTGAGCCTCACACAGGTGATTTCCCCCCAGGCCGTCCTGACTAGGGCAAGACCTGGGCCACTGTAACCCACCCTATGCCCCCCCAGGAGGTGAGCGCACTGGAGTGTGAGATCCAGCTGCTGAAGAACTTGCAGCATGAGCGCATCGTGCAGTACTACGGCTGCCTGCGCGACCGCGCCGAGAAGACGCTCACCATCTTCATGGAGTACATGCCGGGGGTAGGTGCCTGCACGCATGCGCGCAGCGGGGACCACAGTCTGGGGCTCTGAGGGGTCGCCCACCTCCAACTTGGAACCAGGACTCCAGGGCGCAAGGGAAGGTCTGGTCCGACCAGGCTTACCCTGGAGGAGCAGGGGGGTCTCCTGGTTTGCACTGAGTGTTGCTCACTTAGTTCAAGCTGCACGGCAACCCAACAACCCCCCTAGTAAAGTGCCTGGCTTGTGGCAACTGCCCCCTGCCTTGTCCCTGCCCATTGCATGTCCCTGCCCCTTGACCCCGTGACTCCTCGTGACTGACAGGGCTCAGTGAAAGACCAGCTGAAGGCCTACGGGGCTCTGACCGAGAGCGTGACCCGCAAGTACACCCGGCAGATCCTGGAGGGCATGTCCTACCTGCACAGCAACATGATTGTTCACCGGGACATCAAGGGTAAGCAGGGGGGGGCAGCTGCCGCTGCCACCTGGTGTTGGCTCTAGACCAAGCTCAGCTTCCTGTCAGGGCCCGTGAGCCATCTTCCTGGGCACTGAGTCGGGGGGCTGGTGGCACGTTTTGGGGAAACACTCTGTGAGATGCTCTGCAGCCACTGCCACGGCACCACGTGGTCTGTACTAGACTCTGCAGACTCCCACCCTACTGAGCGGGCTGCCCTGACCAGGGGGAGGAGGACACGCCCGGAGGGCCTGGAATGGCAGCAACTTCTCACTTTTTCACACCCCAGGAGCCAACATCCTCCGGGACTCTGCGGGGAACGTGAAGCTGGGGGACTTTGGGGCCAGCAAGCGCCTGCAGACCATCTGCATGTCGGGGACTGGCATGCGCTCAGTCACAGGCACCCCCTACTGGATGAGCCCCGAGGTCATCAGCGGCGAGGGCTACGGAAGGAAGGCGGACGTGTGGTGAGAGCTGGGGACGGTGCAGAGGGGCCTGGGCAGTGGGGGCCAGGCCAGGGCTTAGCTGGGCCCCTGCAGGCTCAGGTGGTGGTGATGGGAGAGGCGTGTGCAGCAGCAGGAGTTGGACGGTAGTCCTCACGTAAGTCACGACGTCACTGCTGGAAGCCTTGGCGCTGCGGACCCTGGAACTGCTGAGTATCTAAACGAAGCAGGCTCTGTTGGAGGAGAGCCGCCTGTCCAGTAGCGGGCTCTGCCCGTCTCCTCATGCCTTAGACACTGGGAGAGTGTCCCCCTCTTCCCAAATGGTCTTAGTGGTTGAAAGGTAGTGCCCGGGGATGTTCGTGCCAATCCTTGGAACCTGTGGCTGATGCCCTATGCGGCAGAAGGGATTCGGCAGTTGTGCTTAAAGGACGCATCTTGAGGTGGGAGACAATCTGTGCCTCGCAGTCACAGGGTCCTTAGGAAGGAGGAGCAGGACAGGAGGACAGACCAGGCTCGGAGATGTGCAGTAGAAGCAGGTCAAAGTGATGTAAAGAGCACCCACAGGCCAAGGCGTGCAGGTGTGGCCTCTAGAAACGGGAAAGGACCCGCGCCCCTGCCAGCCTACAGCAAAGGCCATTCCTGCCGACACCTTGAGACGTGCGGTAGCCTTCAGAACCCCAGAACTGGACGGTGATCGGTGTGTGTTGTCGGAGGCCCCCAAACTCCTACTGCAGCGCAGGCAACGACCACGGGCTTCTGGCTGTTTGTCCTGTCCTTGCCAAGGGCTCTTGTCCCGAGTCGGAGCAGCCCCGGGAGAGTGGCGGTGTATAGGAGGGAGGCTCCTATGGGAGCCCACTCGGACTGTCAGCCCTCGGCTCTGCGCCGCTTGCCTCAGTGTGTCCTCCGAAAGGAGGCTGGTGGCCCGGGTGACCCAGGTTCTCTCTGCCCTCCAGGAGCCTGGGCTGCACTGTGGTGGAGATGCTGACAGAGAAGCCACCTTGGGCAGAGTATGAAGCCATGGCTGCCATCTTCAAGATTGCCACGCAGCCCACCAACCCACAGCTGCCCTCCCACATCTCGGAGCATGGGCGGGACTTCCTGCGGCGCATTTTTGTGGAGGCCCGCCAGAGACCCTCGGCTGAGGAGCTGCTCACACACCACTTTGCACAGCTCGTGTACTGAGTGCGCGGCCACGCTGCTGCCAGCCGCCCCCCACCCCCTATGCCGTACCGTGCTGTGGGCAAGGGCTGCTGGGGCTCAGCAAAGCTGCTGCTGCTCCCCTGCCAGGCTGGGGACCCGCCTGCCGCAGGCCAGCCAGCATCTGCTGGGCCGTTTCTGCTCCCGGACTCAGCCTCAAGGACCAGAAGCCCCAGCCTGCCTAGACCAGCAGGCTCCAGCGTCCTGAGCTCAGCGCCGAGGAGAAGGGACCAGGAACTGTGTGCGAGGCGACTACGGCCCAGCCTCAGAGCTGTGTCCTGACCCGGCATCGGTGTCTCGTCCCCGGGTCTGGGCGCGGGGCTGACGCAGGGGGTGAATAGTGTTACTTCCTTCCAAGTGTTACTTTGTTTCTGGAGGCCAGCATGGGTGGCCCTGGGCTGGGTGCACCCACCCGAGTCTGCAATCAGGCCCAGCCTCCCCGCCGCCAGTGGAAGGCAGAGGCCAGGGCGGCCCCGCCCCAGGCCAGCTTTGCCCATTACCAAAGATGAATGACACAAACGTCATGCCTTATTCAGGGAAGGAGGCACCTGATCTTCTTGCCCGTGACCCTGCCCCGCCCCCCAAGCAGGGCCCTGAGGTGTGGAATTGCCCCCAGTGGGGGGCGAGGTGGGGGACCCAGTGTTGTCAATGCAGTTGCCTCTGTTTTACAAGTTGGAGTCACTCTTAGGCTGACACCATTTCTGAACTGGAGACCTGGGCGCCCTCGGCTCCGGGACCTGCTGTGCGCCTGGGCTGGGAGAGCTCGGCCTGGGCCTGTGTTCCTGGCCAGGTATCTGTTCCCTGGAGCAGCAGGACAGACAGACTCCACAGGCAGGCCTCTGGCCCAAATGGCTGCCCCGAGCCCTGACCTGAGGACCCCCTTCAAGCTGGGGGCAGTGTCCGCACCCCGCTGGGCCAGAGCCCCTTCTAGCAGCTGTGCACTCTGCCAGGCTGGCTATCCAACAAGGGCTCGGCCTCCGCCTCCAGTCCTGCCTTGCTCCTCCCTGGGTGGTGGTGTGGCAGAGAGGCAGCACCTTGAGGTTGCGGGGAACAGTGTCTCCAGGCAGCTTCGAGTCGGCCATGTTTACCTCAGCCTGGGCGCTGGTCCTTTCTTCCAGCCCCTCCCTCCGAAATGTGCCTATTGCTAAGCTCCTCCCCCTGGACTCCCCGCTCCCATGGGAGCTGTCGTTCAGGGGGGCAGGCCAGTGCCTGGGGACCAGGCAGCTCCTCGATGGCCATGCCCACTTCCCCTCGGGCGCCCGAACAAGCCAAAGCCTTCGTTGTCTGTCGACGATGCACTTTTATGAATGTAGTTCCTATCGCTGTTTAGCCCTTTCACATCACGTCATGTGAGGCCTTGTACTTGTTAATTTATATCTCAGATCCTGTCTGATGGTTTTTATATATACTCATTCTAGACTGCTACAGGAGACGGGCGCCTCGAGAGAGGGGAGAACACCAGAGCAGCTGGTTTTGAAGAAATGTGTATTGCACAGTGCAACCGGGGCCTGGGACCCCACCCCACCCGGGGCCCCGGCCCCCGGCCCCTCCTCTCGACCACAGCTGCTGTGCTGCAGCTCGGCCCCTCTGTGACCCTGCCCTGATGGACCCCACCTGAGGCAGGAGCACTCTTCTTCGCTCCCACCCCCCACCCCAGCCCCCGTCCCCAAAGGAGACAATAAGGTGCCCGTGCTGACAAGACGACTCTTTGGGTCCCGGGTTCAAGCTCCCCCATAGCTCCCTCACTCGCACCCCTGGGGGGTCTTACCTCACAGGGAGGTATCCTACAAATGAATTTGAAAACAAGCCAACAAACCCTGCACTTCAAAAACAAAAACAATTTCTTTGTGCCAAAAACTGGTCATCCTGGCTCAGCATCCTCAGGACCAAGCTGTTGCTTAATTTTAACTTATTTTTTGAATAATCCAGATGACAAGTCCTGGGGCCCTCGGAAGCCTGGGACCCTGGGCTCTGAAAGGCATCTTCCCAGCAGCCCTAGGCTTGCTGAGGGAAGGGGCCAAGCCGCCATTTTCTCTTCATTCCGTGAGCCTGTCTGCCTGGGCCAGCCCAGCTGGGAGAGGCCGGGGCTGGGGTCGGCCCTCTCTGCCATCGCTCTTGCCTCCCACGGGCCCCCAGCTCTGTCTGCTGTGGAACGTGCAGAAGAACCTGCAGCCAGAGGTAGTTAAGTAGATCTTGACCGAGGGCTTGCAGTGCAAAGCCAGGCCAGTGTCGTGCATTACTTTACAATAAAAGGGATCATTTACACCGGCGGGGTCCTGCGGCCGTGCTTTTGGGCAGGGTGGAGGGTCCTGGGGTGATTTTGCTGACCCCCACCCCCAGGAGTGTCACGGAGGGCGTTTCCATCAGGCTGGTTTGCTGAGGGCACTCAGCCCTCCTTACTGGAACTGGGGTCCCCAGGAACTTCACAGCACCCAGCCTTCCCCTCAGATGCCCTCCCAGCGGGATAAGGGATCAAGTGCCTCCAGGAGCTACTGTGGCGTCTCTCCCTAGGGAACTGCTGCTGCTGTGCCTAACTGAGCAGACGGCTACCACCCTGCCCCAGCCAGGACTACTGGCCCGGCCCTCAGTACAGGGCCCAGCAGTCCTCACACCCAAGACGCATCTTTACTGCCCTTGACCCACCTCTAGCTGTGAGCATTTTGGGGGACTCGAACAACCCAAGAGGCTTCCTGTCTTCCCAAGCCTGTCTTGCAGTGTGGCCTCACTACTGGAGCCGGGCTGTGACTAAGCCATTCCCTAAAGCTACAAGTGGGGCAAGGGGGCACGGAGACTAGGAGGGCCACCCTGATGTAGACACTAAAAGCCTTCAGACACTCGCTGCCTCTGCAGCTTCCTAGCACCCCCGCTGAGCCGAAGGGTGCCTGGGCAGGGCCTGAGAGGGCTATCGTGCACCCCAGCATCACTGCAAGCCATCCAGGCAGGTGCCACCCCCACTGACTTCCTGACCCCCTCATTCACAAGCCTCATGCTTCCCTCCCACCTCAGAATGGGGCATGTAGACCAACTGAAGACAAAGCAGTTAGTTGTAAAACCACCTCATGCACACACTTAACCCACCCATGGCAGCAGGGGCCCATTTGAGCAGCTGTTGCAGCCCAGAGGACTATGGGAAAGACCTGTTCCCCTCCCCTGGGTACATGCTCATCCTTCCTGCTACCAAGCCCCCATCAGGCCACATAATACAGAGCCAGGATCTTTTTGAAACATGTTTAAAATGGGGTTGATCACAAAGGAGGGGGAAGAGAGGGGTCACAGCTTCAGCCAGTCCCGCGGCCAGTCTCTGGCTCCCAGCCTGGCGGGCACTTGACTTCCGCTTCTTGATTCCAGTGGTGTGAGATGGTCCCAGGCCCCACTGGGCCATGTCCTGCCTTGGGGGGTGGTACAGGGCTGCTCCACTTCCCCACCCCTCTCCCCTCTTGGCCATGGTGGGCTGCGTGTGAGGCCCAGTGGGTGGCACGCTCCATGTTCTTGTGGTCTCTGTGGTTCAGGACCAGGCTATGGGCAGAGAGGTAGATGGGAATACCTGAGGGCCGGGTGGCAGTGAGGGAGCTTAGGACCCTGAGGGGGCATGCGGACTCCTTGCTGGAGAAAAGGCACCTAGATAGGGAAGCTGGGGTTGGTGGCCTCCTGGGGGGGCCCTGGGTAAGGAGGGGGTGTGTGTGAGCTGAAAGAAGTGGGGAGCAGACCCCCAGCCTGGGTCCCCAACCCCTACTCACTGAGGGGGAATACGGCAACCCTGGAGTAGAGCCCTTCCCTGTAACTCCTCACCCTTTGCCCTCCCACCCTGCCCCCACCCAGGCCCAGCTCCGATCGCCTGCCCACTCTTCCCCAGGCCCTTGAGGGCGCTAGTGGCAGGTCGGGGAGTGCTCAGGCTGTCTTGGCGCCAGGGTCCAGCTCCTTGTGGGCCCAGAGCTCCTTGTGTTGCTTGCGGCCAAAGCCCTCGTCGTAGTTGCCTTTGCTCTTAAACAGCTGCTGGAAGTGGGGTTTGCAGCAGAACTCGCCGTGCAGCGCGGCGTAGCTGCCCAGGCTGCGGGAGGGGCAGAGAGGGGCGTCAGTGCTGGGCCCGCTCGGCCAGGCTGCGGGCGAGGGGGCGGGCCGGGCGCACCTGAGCTTGGTGTGGCAGTGCTTGCAACAGAAGCACGAATTGTGGAAGATAAGCTTGTCCGCTACCAGCCGCTCCATGGGGTACACGGTCTTCTGGCAGGCGGCGCAGGTCTCCTTCACCTGGGCCCGGAGGCTGAAGGACTGTCAGGTGGAGACTCAGCGGGGGGCGGCCAGGGACCCACCCGGCCTCCCAGACCCGGCGCCCCCCGGAGCCCTACCTTGGAGCGCTGAACGGCGCTGCCACCGCTGCCAGTGCGATTTCTTTCAAATTTTAATGCATTTGCTGGAAGCTACAGGCTAATCCATCTTTAGGGTTAGAGATGAAATTAAGCTCCAGGGCCTCAATGGCACTGTGAGGTGAGCCACAGGTTGACTGTTCAAACCCAGCAGCCACTCCTCAGGCGAAAGTTGAGATTACTTGCTCCCTGGTCCTGTGAAGGTTTATGGCCTCAGGACCCCGAC